TTACACCAGTGTAGCTCCCTCCTATAGTCACGAGCCATGGGCGCTCTCATCATGGTCTGGAAGGTGAACATGGAAACTTTCACAACCACACCGGGTCTCCCACAGTCTTCTTGAGTGATCACCAGATCGCCTCTGAGACCGGGTAGTCACGTTGAGGAGATGGGTCTAGGAACCCTCCTTTATAGAATAGTAATGGGAAAAGTACACCGAATGTCCCTCAACTTATCATCGAGTTACAAAATCGTCCCCAAACCGCAAAACCAGATATCCGGCATCCCTGAACTAATCAAAACCGGTCACAATAAGTCTTTTGGTGGTTTTGACCCCGATTTTATCCTACATGGTGGATGAGTCAGCGTGGGACCTACGTGGACCCCACATGTCAGGCTGAGTCATCTCTCCTCCTCTTCTCTTCCTCGATTCCTCCTCTCTCTCTCTCTGGCTGTAGGCCGGTCGGCCGGGAGAGGTGGAGGGCGGCGCCACGACGGCAGTCGGCGGCGGCGGCGGCAGCGGCAGCACGGCGAAGCTCCGCGGCGGCCGTACGAGGGCCGCGACGCTGGTAGGGGAAGCGACGAGGGGCGGCCCGGTGGCCGCGAGGCGGAGAAGCGAGGCGGCGGCGAAGAAGACGTGTAACGGTGTAAGCCGCGGCGGCGGTGGTGGCAGAGAAGGACGCGATAGCAACACTCGACTGGTTTTGCTCTCGGGCCTCGCGAAGGCGAAGAAGTCTCCTCGACCTCGACGCTCGTCGTGAAGACGACGTGCTTCAGGTGCGCCCTGTTGTTGGATGCGTCCGCCGGAGTGATGATCGTTGTCTCGTGCCACCGCCGCGTCACACGCAGGAGCTCGCCGCGCGGCATGACTGCGAGCTACTGTGTGGGTTTGAGATCAGAGGAGTGATGCGGCTGCGGCGGCGAGCGCAAGATGGTTCGCGCTACCGGAGATGGAGACGACGACGACGACGCCGCCGCCACCGGCGGTGAGGTGAGAGATGGAGCCGCAATAGCGTATGTTAGAAATAATCTAGACTTAGTATTTTGCTTTTGCATGTTTTCTTATGTATGCATAACGTGGGCTGCTAGCTGGTCTATTTAAGGATGTACTTTGAGGTTGATTATGTGCATTGAAAAAAAACACTGCCGTGTGCAGTGCCAGAAAAGGTTGCGGTTGTGCAGCACAAATACCTTGTGTTCTTTGCCTACTCTCGTGCATGTGTATTCACCAGGTGTGAGTACGTCTAAGAGTGTTCTCTTGTGTGCTAACAGCGTAGCAGGTAGAAGAGCCTGTTCTTCTTGTTGTGGACGATGCTGAGCCAGTATTTGCAGCGACGAGCGCGTAGAGAGCGGGCGGCCGGCGGAGCGGAGCACCGGCGGCGGCAGACGAGCGCGCTGCCAGCGGAGCGGAGCGGCGGCGGGGCGAGTCAACCGCCGGACCTTCTCCTCTCCCTCCTCGCCCCGCCGACCTCCTCCCGACCCGCTGGTCGCCGCCGTCTCCGCCGCCGCGTTGCCCGTCGCCGGCCGCCAACGCCCGTTCGTCTCCGCGTTCGTCGTCGGGGCCGTCGCGCTCATCGCCGTGCCATTCGCCGTCCCTCCCGCGTCGTTGTTCGCCCGCCACGTCGGGCGCGTCGTTTCCGAGCGCGAGGAGCGTGACGGCGGCCATGGACGGGGAGAGGCAGAGGTGGCCCGCGATGCGGGAGACCGCAGGGGAGAAGTGGGACCCCGCGGCGGCGGCGAGGACGCGGAAGTTGAGGAGGAGCGCGAGCAACGGGAGGGAGGCGCGGCGGTCCTGGGCACAAGAGGGGAAAGAGATTAAGAGAGAGGGTGGTGACGTGGACACCGGACATTGTGGGTCCATGTGGGGCCCACGCTGACTCAGCCGTCACGTAGGACAAAACCGGGTCAAAACCACCGAAGGTCCGGTTTTGATTAGTTCAGGGACGCCGGATATCTGGTTTTACGGTTTGGGAAAGATTTTGTAACTCGATGACAAGTTGAGGGACCTTGGGTGTACCTTTTCCAATAGTAATATCTTATGGGGCGGCATGGGCCTTTCGCTAGGTAGACTTCGTGATGGGCCACCTAGCTTTGTCCTTCTCCCGTGGTTATTCCGTTGGAAAAAGTCCACTTTGACTCCCTTAAATGTATACCGAATCTAATTCGTACCCCTCAACCAGAAAACCGGTTAGGATGACTTCCCCAATTACTAAAACCGGTACAAATAGACTCCCTCGGCGGTTTTCAAGGGCGGTTTTGCTGATGTGGCGGTGTTGACTTGGTCTTCGTCCCATGTGGCGTTGACGTGGCACTGATGTAAGATTAGATTTAAAAATATATATGTGGGACCAATTTGTCATTCACACACAAAAATTATAATAGGATCCACTGACTTGCGGGGTCCACATGTCATTCTCTTTCCAACCTTTCTGCCTCCCTCTCTCTCCCTTATCTCTCTTTCTCTTCCCGTCGGCGAGCAGCGCGGAGAGCTTGCTGAGGGCACGGATGGCAAAGCAGAGGGCGGCGAGGGAGCGGAGTGGAGGGCGCCAAGGGAGTGCGTGAAGCCGTGAAGCCGTGGGCGGCGGTGGGTGGAGAAGGCCGGCGCGAAGGCCGGGCGGAGCGGCGGCATCGAGAGCTGCCAGTCGCCGCGGTCGCTCCTGTCTCGTATCCTACAGTGAGGCGACGGCGGCGGCAGCGGTGGGAAGATCGGGTGCCGGGTGCAGTTGCCGTGGCGGTACAGCTCCACCTCCGTGTTGATGCAATATTGTTAACACTCCGCCGCCGCCGGTAGTGGCGGCGGCGGCAGCGGTGGGAAGTTCGGGTGCTGGATGCGGCTACCGGCGCTGGCCAAGGTCAAGGTCATCGGGAGGGCGCCGGAGTTGTCCCTCGACACACCGCGGAGTTCTTGTACACTCGACAAGGGGAGAAATGGTATAATTCTTGCCGTGCGTGGCGCCGGTGCAGTGCCGGAGACGAGAGCGACGAAACGGAGGAGGTGACTGACACGTCGGCGTCCTTCGCCGCCAAGACGGACGACGTGGCTGCAAGAAGGCCAAGGATGGTGGCGGCGGCGGCGCGGTGCTGGTGACGGTGGATGGCGACGTGGAGCTGGAGATGAAGACGCTACTGAAGGCGTCGGCGTACATCCTGGGCGCGGCGGGCAGCAGCATCGTGTACATGGCGGTGCTGGACGACGGCGCCGTGCTGGCAGTGCGCAGGATTGGCAGCGACGACGCATCGCCCGCGGCATGGCGAGAGGGCTGGCCTTCCTCCACGACAAGAAGTTCGTGCGGCAACGTCCGGCCGAGCAACATCCTGCTCGACGCCAACATGGAGCCGCTATTGGCGGACATTGGAATCCACCGGCTCATCCGTGGCGGGGGCACGCTCAAGCCGGCAGCAGCGGCAGTGCTAGGGCGGTTCGGGAGCAAGCGGTCGGCGAAGTGCTCGCCGGACCTGTCGCCGCCGGGCGCGAGGCTGCTGGCGGGGCCGTCCGGGTCCGGCGACACGGTGGCACAATACTAGGAGAGGAGCGAGCCAGAGCTGATGCTGAGCAGCAACAACCACACCCTCGTCTACACCTGCGACAACGTGCAGTGCAGTGCCGCACAGCAACTACGCGCTCGACTTCCTCGACCGCTTGCTCTGCTGTTTCTTTTTGGGGGATTTGGGGGAAAAGATAGAGAGGGAGAAGATGTCTGACAAGTGGGCCCTACACTTTTTATATTTTCTCCTATCACTTACATGTGGGCCTCATCTATATTTTGGTGACTGGGCTGACACGTCAGCACAATAGACCAAGTCAGCATGCCACGTCAGCAAAACCGCCCTTTAAAACCACATAGGGAGTCAATTTGTACCGGTTTTAGTAATTGGGGGAGTCATCCTAACCGGTTTTCTGGTTGAGGGGTACGAATTAGATTCGGTGTATATTTAAGAGAGTTAAAGTGGACTTTTTCCTATTCCGTTCTAGCTTCGCACCTGGGCTTTGCTACTTATCGTGGCTTTTGCCCCATCAAGCGGGCATCGCCATTTTTCGTGGTCTCTGCACTCATGATCCTTGTCATTCGGTCATAGCATTCGCCACGCTCGATGATGTTTGCCATGTGTCATGACCACGTTGACCAAAGGGCCTACGACCTGCTCCCAACAAGCTTAGTTTTTAGTTGGAAAGTTTAGCTCAATGGTCAAAAATGCCTTAAAGGTGGATTAAATAATAATATTGACATGTCTTAGTTTGAAATGATAAAAAAAATGCTACTCCCTTCGTTTCATCATATTATAATTCGATCAAATTTTTTCTTCGTCAAAATTCTTTAGGTTTGACCAAGTTTATAGAAAAGATTAGCAATATCTAAGACATCAAATTAGTTTAATTAAATTTAATATTGAATATATTTTTGATACAATGTTTGTTTTGTATTGAAAATGGTACTGTATTTTGCTACAAACTCGGTCAAACTTCAAGAAGTTTAACTAAGAAAAAAAGTGAAACGACTTGTACTATGAAATCGGAGGGAATATTTAATTAGAAAGAAACACTTTTATTTTGTGACTTTTCAAAGTCTAGCTTGCCCTAACTTTGAACTATAGTCTGCTTTCCGAATTTACCTCTCTGCCGGCCTTTGCACGCTTGTAGCCCACCAACCCAAGGAACCAACGGGCCTGGGCCTTGCTACCAACAGCTCACATATGATAGCCCACCCTAGCATCATCGTAGACAGATTGTCTGTTTAATACCCCAAGAAGCATGATTTTTTTTTTTTGAAATCTGGAGAACCATGATTACTCAAGAACTGTGAGAATTGGATTTTTACAACTCGAGCAAATATTCCTTATGTTTTGCATGTGACCATAAAAAATTTTAGCAATATAGGTTAATAAAACACTATACTCCCTCCGTAAAAAAAACTCAACCTCAAATCTGGACTATCCTTTTGTTATTCTAGGAGGGATCACATCCTTTTCTATATTGAGTTTTTTTAAGGACGGAGGGAGTGATCAGTCTACAAACACAAATTGCATATACACTCTTAGGTTCTGTATGCCTATTTTGGATCTTTCACACGTGTTCGCTGGGGAAACTATTTTAAATTCTTGAGAGGACGACATCTCGTTATTTGCATGTAGCTTAAAGGGCAATGAACAAATTTGAGAAAATTCAACAAGATAAATTAATATGTAATATATCACTTCATAAATATACAAGGTAAAATTTAATTTCTACATATTACAGTAAAAAAAATGACAGTGAATACATGTAGGTGTAGTTTAATTTTTTTTATTGTAGCTTGTAAAAAATGAACTTGAATATGCATGTTTGTAGAGTAATATATCACATGTCAATATATTCTTCTCATTTTTTATTTAATTTTTTAAAACTATTTAAGTGATATGCAAAAACAAGAGAACGGAGTTTAAAATCCACTCCGCTGCCACGGTTGCTGGTGCCTGCAAGGCTGCAAGCTAGTTAGACTTGTTGCTCTAGCGACACCAATCTCCCATGGTGGAGTTCGCTGCCACTATTGCTGGCGTCTGCATCTGGCGCAGCCGCAGCGGCTTCTTTCTGTTCTACGGCGGCGACGGTGGGCGTGGCGGTGGCGAGCGTGAGCTTGTCCTGCTCCTTGCTCTTGCCCCACAGCACGCTGTAGAGTCCAGCCACCATGAGGACCCCGCCGACGACGCTGCCGGCGTGGACGGTCTCGCCGAGGAAGAAGATGCAGCAGAAGACGGTGAAGACGAAGGCGAGCGGGGTGGACATGGCGAGGAACACGGGCCCCTTCTTCTCGATGCACCACGCCATCAGGTAGAACGCCACGGCCGTGACGACGACGCCGGAGTAGGCGACGGCGAGGAGGCCAGTGTCGAGCCGCAGCCTCCACGCGGCGGGGTCCCGCGCCGCCGCCACCGCCGCCACCGCCAGCGACTGCGCCGCGCTGATCACGCACTGCCACGTCGTGGCCAGCAGCTTGTTCGGGTACTCGCGGAGCACCGGCGCCATGAGCATGGACCAGAGCAGCCACGTCACGTTCGACAGCAGGATCAGCACCGTCCCCACGATCCACCTCGTCCTGCCGCTCCCGCTCGCCGAAGCTTCATGGCCGCCGCCGGCGAACACGCGGTGGTGGATCAGTGGGCTTATCGTCGGCCCGGTGTACAGCGCGATCACCAGCACGCCGGCCAGGCACAGGCCAACGCCGGCCGCCTTCGCCGAGCCCGGCAAGCTCCTCAGCCGGATCATTTCCTGCCTTAGTAGGAGCGCCAAGAAGAAGGACATCACCGGAATCGAGCTGCCTGCCGCGGATGCCACCGTCGACGTGGTGTACTTGAGGCCCATGTTGTACAGGTTTAAGGTCCCCGTGCTCCTGCCAATTTAATCGAATCGAAGTAAATTACATATGTATGTTACAGTGACCTGAGTAACTCCAAGGTTCTAAGTTTAAATCTTCATAGGAGTAAATTTTAGATAGGTTTATTTGAGAACTAAGTTTCCTATTTAATAGGCCAAGTTCCTAATTTTTTTTAAAAAACTGTATATATCTTGTTAGATATAGAAGCCAGGTAAAAAAATACCATTCTCTAAAAAAAAATGCATGTATGCTCATTAACCGATTAGCTCAAAAATCCTGTAAATATAGAAGGTAAGTTTATCGATACAAAAAGATGTACAACTGTTTTTTTACCCAAACAGAGCACAGAGGAAAAACTTGATGAACAATCTGAGCGACATCGGTGGCGCGTTTCTCCTGCATGCAAACTCAAATTCTCATCATTCTGCAGACGCCCCAAAAATGAATTTTGCAGAACAGCTAGCAGCTAGCTCTTCTTGTTCTTGATTGATTGGTTACCTCTCAAGAACGATGGCAAGAGGCAGCAGTAGTACGGAGGCAGCTGCCTGGCGGTAGAAGATGAAGATGAAGGTGTTCATCCCCTGGTTGAAGGCTGCCTTGGAGATAATGTACATGCCAGTGTAGATCAGCTCTACGATGACGATGACGACATAGGGCGTTTTGGCACCCATGGCTTGCACGTTACTTCTGCTGCTGAATGCTGATCCTGAAACAGGATAGGGTTACAGTGCCGCGCAGTGCGAGACATGGTAAGCGAGGGCAAGGGAGCTAGCCTTATATAGGCTGTTTTTGTGAGTACGGGCCGTCCCGTGAAATTCGTGGATATATCATATATGGTTCCAGTGTAAAACAGAACCATATATGGTTTCAATTTTAAACTCTCTAGGTAATGTTCTCTCGTTATTTGCATATCACTTAAATAATTATGAAAAAATTGATGAAAATTGATAAGGCTGTATTAACATGTGATATAGTATGCTTGAATCTGGATATATATGGTTCCAGTGTTAGAGATGATAAGAGTGCTAGGGAGCTAGCCATACATAGGCTGTGTTTAGGTGAGTGGTAGATTTTGAGAAGTAGTGGGTGAGAATCCGGCTGACGAGAATCAATCTAGAGAAGTTAAAAAAAACTCAGCTTTTAGCTATTATTTTATTTTTTGAATCTGAATGAAATCTGAATTATTTGAAGGAGCCAAAGATTTTCGAATTGTTGCGGTTGTCGGATACTCCTTCAAACATAAATATAATCCACTAGTTCTCACATGGTTTTACATAAGATGTTTTAGGAAAATAGAGTATTTCAATTCCGTGGAAAAAAAATCCTAGGAAGACATTTGAAATAAGGAATCAAATTATATCCTTTTCTTTTATGAAATGGACAATCATATACATGTTTTCTTTGGTTTTGAAAGAAAGTTAACAAAAGCTCTAACCTTTTAAAAAAATCCTTTGAGTTTATCTCTCTCATCTTATTATTATGTCCTTTTAAAACGACCCTTATTTTTATGTCCTTTTAAAACGACCATTTACTTTTTTGTAATACTTTATTTTGCACTAGCTTCCATTGCTATCAAAATTCTATGTTTTTTTAATATTTCTCTTTTCCCCCTATACTTCCGGGTTTTTTAAACCCTAGGTTTGCGGTAGAAGGCCGGGCTGATGTTTTCTTCTCTGGCTTTCTCAACCATTTTCGATTGGTTTGGGCAGACACTGTCCTATTGCTTCCTCATCTTTTCATTTTCTTCACTTGAAAAAGATTGATGTGGATAGGTTAGTGCCAATTAATTAATTAGTGAGACTTTGGTTCACATTTTTCTCGCGCTATATATACGTACGGTTGTCCGATTAAGGAGCGTGCAGCTTACATTTCCAAAAAAAAAAGGGCTACGGCTTTAGAGAACGCCAGCTGATGATCATCTGTAGCTCCTTGTTAGTAATTTGCACTATTGTACGTACAACGTACGGTTACGGTACCAGAGGAAAAAAGAACTGGCGTATATGATGGATTTTAAGGCCTTATGATATCTATGCCCATTCTTTAATTTGCACATGTCCAAAAAGTCAAAAATAGTTTTTTTTTCAGATAATTTACATCATGTATTGTTGTCATATATCCATTCCATTCCCAAACTTTAGACACTGTTTGAGAGAGCATCCAGGACCTAAAATTGCTCTAAGAACCTCCAAAAGTCACCTAATATTGCTCTAAGAACCTTCAAAAGTGACCTAATATTGCTCTAAGAACCTCCAACAGTCTAGCCCCTTTATAAAGAATACAAATTCTCGCTTTAGATTGCCTGGACATAGTAGCTACAGAATCTATACTCTTTTCAAAGACTTGAAAAGTGATCAATGGTGACTCTACTATACCACCCATCACTACTGTTTTATGGATCCCGTAATGAGTAGTTAGACTTATATCGCTTTTCTAATCCCAAATCATCAAACAATGAAGATTTATTTAAATTGATGCAATCCTTTTATTCATTCGCGAAAAAGATATGAAAAATATGACCTAAAGATTTTACAATGAAAATAATTTAATTTAAAAGCTAATACTTTAAAGTGTATTATGGGATTCTCATTTTCAATTCCCGTTACAATGCACGTGCATTCAGCTAGTTAACAAAGAAACAGGTAATCAGAAGCTAGCTAACCTTACTTCTTCATATTCTCACCAGTTAGGTATTCATCATATTATAAGAATATGATAGCGTATAATTACACAGCATGCTTACTAAACATAGTCAAAGGTGTGCTTAATAAATTGATGGTCACACTATAGACCAGGTTTGGGGAAAAAAGTGCATGATAAGTCATATGGTTGTAATTATAGTAATGAAATAAACAATAGCCTAGTAAAGTATGAGAAATTTGGGTAAACTGTGGAAGTGAACCAAATGCCATAATCGTCTTGTGTCGTTATCTTATATTTTCCCTGTGCTTGGAAAATGACTTCATGCACTAGACTTGTCTTAGACAGAAGCGATTCAATCTATATATAGTATAGTTTAATGCCATGTGACACCTATTGTGGTGGCACATTGCGTACCACTGATCTATTTATTAAATGAATTATAGAAAAGAAGCCGGCACACATTTATTTTGAAGGCATAGACGCTCTCTCTCGTGGCCCGATCTTTTGGTGGGGGGATAACTCATGGCTACCAAGCATAACAAGTCCAGAACGCCGTGCAATCGCTACACCACAAACTATGTTGTACCAACCGTGACGCGCGGTTGATGATCCCTACAACGCAAACGAGAGAACACTGCAAAAATAAGATACGATACAATCTAAATATTGAGAATAGATAATTAAATACAAAGAAATAGTTATGATTGAAGTGGTAGATCTAATCGACCGAGAAATCAACACACCAACCATTGGGAGCTCTTAATCTATAGTCGCCGACTAATCGAGCGAGAACTAGAGACAAGGTGAATGTCACTTGGCAAAATTCAACTAAACAAGACCCAATTGTTCTAGAGGATGTATATAGATATTTATAGAGAAAAATAGAACTAGAGTTAATTACTAATTCATGAAGGTGGAGGGGGGCATTTTCAAGATGAGCCTAGTCTATTATAAGGCCCAAGGCCCAAGTTCGGTTGCAGCAACAATACTGTCTTGTGTTGATGATTCCCGTTGACTCGAGATGAATTTGGATATAATACTGGATGCGTTTGAAAGGTGACGAGATAAGCTTTCCATCAAGTCCAAGATCACTTAAATCGGAGTTAGCATGAAGATGCTAGATCCGTTTGAAGTCAGTGCTATCTCCGAAAGCCAAATTGGACTTGGATTTGGAATTGTCATTAGAACGTAAGAAGTTATGTGCGTATCCGATGAAATGATGTCCTCATCACAAACTACTCTAATTATATATGTCAGACATAGGGAAAATGAGATGTTCTAGGCTATGTTTGATTAATTGTAGTCAAATTAATATAGTTTCTTATATAGTTATCCGTCTATTCATCTCTATATTTTTTTTTCAAACACATTATAAATGCAGACACTCGTAACGCTTGCATACTCAACTCTATGAACACCAATTGTACAATACTATATCTACGAGCATATTCGAAATTAAGATAGTGCCAATATATTTTGATATATCATCAATATATTAGTATATGATGAGCTTGCCCAAGAGTTCTACAGCAAATTAATTCGCGTTATTTTCATTTGTGTATGAGAAAAATGCTCGTTGTGTTAAGAGTCTTGGAGATCTACTTTGCCTCATGCTACGAACAGAAGCCAGGGGAAGCAGGAGCACGCACGCATCCTCCCTCCCAAGCTTATATCGATTTTTTACAGTAACTTTACAGTTCTTAAAAGAGGTTTCAGAAGAGTGAAGACATACATTTTCTACTACAAAATTTGATATTTCTTGATGCTTTCAGTACTAGAAATCATGAAAATTTTCACTTACAAGAAAAAATATTTACAGTTCTCGAGAGGTACCAACTGCCAAAAGATAACAAATTTGGTACCTCTTAATACTAAAGGCATCCAAAAATATTAAATTTTACACTAAAAATATGGCACCTATTGATATTTTTCAAAGACTATAAAATCACTCTTAATAAGGACCATAAAATTTCTCGCTTTTTATTATGAGTGATACTTGTTGCTCAGGCGATCGAGGCCAATCTCTCCTGTTCGCTGTCACTGCTGCTGCTGTCTGCAGGAGCTGGTACTGCAGCGACCTTCTTTTCTTGCTGTTGCACGGAGGCGGGCGTGGGCATGGCGGTGGCGAGCGTGAGCGTGTCGTGCTCCTTGCTCTTGCCCCACAGCACGCTGTAGAGGCCAACCACCATGAGGACCCCGCCGACGACGCTGCCGAGGTGGACGACCTCGCCGAGGACGAAGAGCGCGCAGAAGATGGTGAAGACGAAGCTGAGCGGGTTGGACATGGCCAGGAACACGGGTCCCTTCTTCTCGATGCACCACGCCTGCATGTACAGGGAGGCGCCCGTGACGGCGACGGCGGAGTAGGCGACGGCGAGGAGGCCGGCGTCGGGCCGCAGCCTCCACGCGGCCGGGTCGCGCCCCGCCGCCGCCGCCGCCAGCGCGAGCGACTGCGCCGCGCTGAGCGCGCACTGCGCCGCCGTGGCCAGCAGCTTGCTGGGGTACTCCCTGAGCAGCGACGCCATCAGCACGGTCCAGAGCGACCACGTCGCGTTCGACAGCAGCATCAGCAACGTGCCTTTCACCCACCTCGTCCTCGTCGTCGCCGATGCTGATTCATGGCCGCCGCCGCCGCCGCCGCCGAACGCGCGATGGTGGTTCACGGGGCTTATCGCCGGCCCGGCGTACAGCGCGATCGCCAGCACGCCGCCCACGCACAGCACCACGCCGGCCATCTTCGCCGCGCCCGACAAGCTCTTCAGCCGGATCACTTCCACCCTGCAACCATGAACGCAGATCAGTATTAATTACTCATTTGATCATTTCAGATAGTAAATCAATGATCAGCGTCAAGAAATTGATTAACCAGAGATGGATGATTGATTGAGCTCGCCTTAATAGGAGTGCAAAGAAGAAGGTCACCACGGGAATCGAATTGGTTGTCGCCGAGGCCACCGTCGGGGAGGTGTACTTGAGGCCCAGGTTGTACATGTTTAAGCTCAGTGTGTTCCTGCAAATTGAATCGAAAGCCAAGTTAATCAGACGCATCTTCTATGATTTTATTGATCCAAATTAAATCATGCCTGCACCATTGCTGTCTAATCTTACCCAAGCAGAGCATACAAGAAAAGCTTAGTGAACAACCGGAGCGACATCGGTGGTGCATTTCTCCTGCAATATGCATGCTCAAAATTTAGCCTGACTGACTCTAATTCTTCCCTTCTTTTGCAATATTATCGGAGAACCAAATGAGGAAAATTCAGTACAGTTGATCGATCGGTTACCTCTCAAGAACGATGGCGAGAGGCAGCAGCAAGAGAGAGGCAGCTGCCTGGCGGTAGAAGATGAAGACGAAGGTGTTCATCCCATGGTTGAAGGCTGCCTTGGAGATAACAAACAGGCCTGTGTTGATCAGCTGTATGACGATGACGATGACATATGGCTTCTTGGCGTCCATCGCTCAGTACGCTTTGCTTCTTCTGAGCTCTGAAACTGAAAACGGTTTCAGTGTGAGACAAGTGAGACAGTATAAGGGGAACATGCCATTATATTGCTAGCTCTTGCACTGTTGCACCGCTGATGTTTCAGAGGAAAAAAAAAACATTTCCCAATTCAGAAGCATTGCTCCTTTCTTCTTTGAGTAAATCCCTTCTGTACACATGAAAACTCACCTAATCTCTTCTATACCCTCCAATTTTACACGATCCCCTCTGTACCCCTAAAATTTTGCTTTGATCCCTTCCATGCCCCTTCTGTTAGTTTTCCTTCATTTTCATGTTATGTGTGGTTTCTAATGTCTAAAACACCCTTGTAGATGGAAGAGTGCCAGCTAGAGTGGCAACAGGAGGGAGACGGCCGGCGATGCCCGCGCGGCAGGAGGGGCGGCGGCCGGCGGCCCGCGCGGTGGGAGGGGCGGTGGCTGGCGGCCCGTGCGGCAGGGGCGCGGTGGCCGGCGATGCTCACGCGGTGGGAGGGGCGGTGGCGGCGTGACGGCGGCTGAATGACGGCGCACGCGGCGGGAGGGTGGTGGCCGGCGACGCCTACGCGGCGGGAGGGCGGCTGGATGACAGCGCCCCGCGCGGCGTGACGGCGGCTGGACGACGGCGCGCGCGCGGCCGAAGGGGCGGCGGCCGACGGCCCGTGCGGCAGGGGCGCGGTGGCCGGTGGCCCGTGCGGCGGGAGGGCGGTGGCCGGCGACGCCCGCACGGTGGGAGGGCGGCTGGATGACGGCGCCCCGCGCGGCGTGACAGCGGCTGGACGACGGCGCGCGCGGCCAGAGGGGCCGTGGCCGGCGCCCCGCGCGGTGGGAGGGCGGCTGGACGACGACGCGCGTGGCCAGAGGGCGGCAGCGGGACGGCGGCGCGCAGAGGCCGTTTGCGTGGAAGAGGATGCGGGAGAAGGAAAGGGGAACTTTAGTTAGGGTTGACAGGGGCATTTTGGTATTTTCTAAAAATACTGACAACACAATACACGGTTTGAGCAACGTATCTAATGGAAACCTAACGGGAGGGGCATGGAAGGGATCAAAGCGAAATTTCAGGGGTACATAGAGGATCGTGTAAAATTCGAGGGTATAGAAAGGATTATATGAGTTTTCATGTGTACATAAGGGATATAGTCTTCTTCTTTCCCTTTTTCTAGTTTGTATAATATTGATGTGGTTAGGTTAGTGTTAACTACCTCAATTTTCTTAATATGTAATGTAAGTTGACTTATTAGATATATATGTCTGATCATTTGTCTTACTATTTGGTGGTAGGGTTCACATCAGTGAGTATTGCATCGTGGCAATATAGAAAGCTTGGAGTGTTGCTTGCTTAAGAAACCAACTTCAGAAGACCCTATGGAACGTCTTTGTTTACACCCATCGTTTCCATCTTAATCGAATTATTACATAAAAACTTGAAATAAAATTAGTGCTACCACCATCCCAAAAGGAAAGCAAGTCTGGCTATGCACCCGACAAGTATTGAGATAGGGGTACAATTGTTTTTTTGATAGTAGGGGTACAATTGTTAAAGCAAGCCATTTTGTTGGTTATAGATGGGAAAGTATATATGGTGGAAACCACATCTTATATGGAAAATTGGAAACTTTTTTATAAAAGTTTTCAAAAAATCTCAGACAAATCACATATGTAGGTAATATGTAAATAAACAGCCTTACAAAGTTGTATGGACAAACTCAACTTTGTTAATGAGATATAAAATTAACAAATAAAACTATTCCTATTTTTACCTTTTCTCCTATGTTTCTTAATTTTATGTCTGACAAATGAAGTTGAGTTTACACTTGAAACTTTATATGGTTGTCTAATATTGCCATGTAAAAGTTTTTCAAACTAGATTTGTTTAAGAAATTATTGAAAACTTTTATAATATTAAAAATGATATAAAAGTTTTCAAAAAAATTGAAAGTATTTCCACAAATAGCTAAGGTAATATTATACAACCATGTAAAGTTCCCAGAATAAATTCAACTTCATTTGTGTGATATAAAATTGAGAAACATAGAAGAAAAAGACAAAAAAAAACATGAATAGTATTTTTTTGTTAATTTCCTTTCTCATTACCGAAGTTAAGTTTGTTTATGCAATTTCGTAAGGTTGTTAATTTATTTGCGTATCACCTATATGTGTGCTTGTTTGATATTTTTTAAAGAATTTTTATAAAAAAAAGTGTTTAAGTTTTTACTTAAAATGTGGTTTGCACCGCATATTTCCCTGTTTTAGATATCCTTGTTAGCAAACGGAGTAGCGGTGGCACCATCGATACAGCTAAAAGGGACTGGAAAGTATAGTCTTTCTTTTCGATTAGTTTTGAAACTTTGTTAAGCTACCTTACTAGTATATCCATGAATAATTATGATGTCACCATCTAGGATAATAATTAATATGATGTTGAGGACTAGGAGAGAATGTCATGAGAATTTTGATGATGTGGAGCCAAAAAACAGATGATAGACAAAATAAAGGATGTTGCGTGCTCATTAGCAACCGTTTTATTAACAGATGATAGACAACTTAATATCATATACAAACATATCTATCTATTATATACTAAAAGTCCATTAAACTTTCTTAAAACGCTCTCAAAACTCTATGTGGCATCTAAAAACGCTCGATTTTAGCTTGTTTTCTCGACCGCTCACATATCGCCTCATCCCAACAATGCGATGCTCGCTTGCTCCATCGTATACCTCCTGCCAGCTCGATGCCTCCAGCAAAGGCGATGACAAGACCCCACCCCTCCTAGCCCCTTCTTCCCTCCACGCTCCACCCTAGTGAGGGTGATCTTCGGGGTCTCCTTCTTCCTTCCTTGTGTGTTGTTCTCCTCGACCCCTCTTTCTTTGCCATGGTGAGATGTTGGTGAGCCTAGATTCCCTTTTTTTCACCTCCTTGGCAAGACATCGACGCCACTTTCTTCCTCCTCGCTAGTGGACCGAACACCTGATCATAGCAAAATCAATGAGTCTCATATCTTCATCAGATCCAATACAAGCTATTACTAAAAAATTCCATGGGTTTGAGTACAAAGTTTAAAGTCACTAGTAGAAAGTTTTAATTTTCTTAGCTAAAACATTCAAAATTAATTTTGAAAGTTTAAGGATTTAGATACATTTTTTTTTATATTTTAGTTGAAAGTCTTAAATTTTGAATTGAAAGTTCATTCATTTTAGCCACAAGTAGAAAGTTTTAGATTGAAATGTTTGCAATCCAAGCTCAAAGTTTTGAGCCACAAGTAGGAATATTTTAGTTTTAGATCGAAAGGTTTCCAATCCGAGATTGAAAGTATTAGATTCAAACAAGAGAGTTTGGGAAACTCTAGAATCTAGATCTAGGTTTTGGACATCAGACATAAATGAGAAACACATCACGCATCACTTCCGCATTAGGCAAGATGAGCAACTTCAACTTTGGGTTGAGTAGAAAAGAGAAGTGGTTGATGTTGGCACATCCGTGTCAAACATCAATTCCGTAAATGAACTATTTGTCAGGTACTATATGACCTTACGTCTTCGTCTTCTTCATATTCGTACCAATTAGATATTCACTAGATACTTCTCACAATCTCCAGGTGCCATAAATAAGGCCTTGGTCTTTCATCCTTCTTTTCTCCATTCCTTAGAAAATGACTTTGTGCATGGAGACTTATACATGTAGTAGGGACTACATGTGATGCAGTCTGATACATGGTAGTTCAACGGAATACAATCCACGTTGTTGTGGCATATTCTCATACCACGTATTATTGATTTATTAATTAAGTTGTAGAAAATAAGTCACCGTGCACATTTGATTTTCAAGGGCTAGAAAGTATGTACTACTTTTTATGGATGTCATGTAAAGGAAAAAATGAGGTTATCTAAATCATGTTTGATTAATTAATTATAGTACTCCAATGAAAGTTGTATACAAGAAATATAATGCACATGTTTTTGTCAGTATATAAGCCCAAGACCTGTACAACAAATTAGTACACGTCTATTTTCAGCCATGTATATAGATATGTCCATTCAATTTTCATGGGAACAATCAGATGATGAGGAAGTCAACAATCAAAAAAGTACAATCAGTTTGAAGGATGATACTCCTATAATTAATTATTAATTAGTACTGAAATTGCAAATCTATATTAGGAATTCAAGAACGTTCCTCATTCCAGACCACACATAATCAAATTAAAAGCAGTTGGATTGTGATAGGGATGGGAACGAGAATACGGATATATCTATAATCCAACCATATTCAACCATGGCAGTTCAAACAAGAATATGTGTGATATGCATAAAATCCAACGGTATTCGAATCCACAATTTCAATTCAAAAGTTTCAAATACATATTGATTCAAGACGGATTGAACTTGCTAATTATTAATATTAAATTTTAAATTAAATTAAGAAAATACCATATTGAGGGTCCAAATGGATACATAATATTCATTAATTATGAATTTGTTGAAAAACCTAAACTTTAGAGTTCATAATATTTTATTGAACATAAACTCTCGGTACAATCTACAACCATAAAGTCATGATAACATAATACATATGATCAGTGCATCTTTCTAGTCTGGGTAGTTGATTAATTAGTACTACCTCCGTTTCAGGTCATAAGACTTAGCATTGTCCACATTCATATAGATGTTAATGAATCTAGGTAAATTCATACCTAGATTCATTAACATATATATGAATGTGGACAATGTTAGAAAGTCTTATAATATGAAATGGAGGAAGTCTATATCTTTGTAATAATATAAAAATAATGATTTGCTCATATAATAAATTATTTTTTTCCGGTTCGAGCCATGCCACTGCAGATCCCATTTTTTTTCATTTGTATCACTTTGACACAATTGATGCCATAAGAGGCAAACCATGGTCTGGGAACAACATCAAAACCTTAAAAAGAAACATGCATAAGGTTAGCCTACCCGTGACAATTATGAAGGCAAATGGTTAATTTATCTCATGAGAGATGGGAGATTCAAGACAAGGTTCCCCTCATGGTAGGCCTGCACACGGGCCACCCTTGGGCCTTGGGCTTAAGTTTTCAGTTGGAAAGATTAACCCAAGTTCCAAGCGTAATGGCTAATTAGCGAGTGCGTGTTATCAGCGTAACCGGCGCGTGTTTCTGGCCCACGCGGCCCATGCCATCGAGCAACCCCTCTCTTCCTCATTTTTTTTCTTTTTCTCCTTTCTTTTTGCGCCGTCGGGAGTCGGTTTTTTTGCCGATTTTTTCCGTGGTTTTTTATTTAGAAATTGAATCTTTCATCTCTAATTTCTGCTAGTTTTAAATTTGAATTGATTTTTTTTTAAGATTTGAGTTGAATGTTTTTCAGTTTTAAGATGAAAGTTTTTAAATTTGAGTTGAACGTTTTTTCATCTGAGATGAAAGTTTTTAAATTTGAGTTGAAAGTTTTCAAATCTTGACTTAAATAGTTGAAAGTTTTTAAGATTTGATATGGAAGTTTTTAAGTTTTGGATGAAATTTTTCAAATTTGAGTTGAATGTTTTTGAATTTGAGATGAAAGTTTTTAAATATGAGTTGAAAGTTTTCAAATATTTAGTTGAAAGTTTTTAAATTCGAGTCGAAAGTTTTCAAATCTTCACTTGAATTTTTCAAATCTGACTTGAAAATTTTTCAAATCAAGATTTAAAAGTTTCAAAATATGAGTTGAAAATTTTTAAATTTAAGTTCAAAGTATTCAAATCTTGACTTGAAAATTTTTAAATCTGTGTTCAAATCTAGACTTGAGAGCTTTCAAATCTTAGTTGAAAAGTTTCCAAATCCGAAATAAATCTGAGTTGAAAGTTTGTTTTAGTCAACTAAACAAAAGAAAAAAATAGATGGTGGCGAATATAACGACGCTATCAGGAAAAAAAAGAGCGCTAAACGCTATTAGCGGTAGGAAAGTGCGCGCCGCCTCCGGTTCCTAGCGCGTATGCACGGAACAAAACCCCCCCAGTTCCAAGAGGCCGTGGCTAGCTCGCGCGTACACGCGAGGACGCTAACTCGCGCGCACACGGGCCTCCGCCGACAACGACATCACTAATCCTAAAAATTAGCATTAATCATGGTGATTTGTGAGAATGCTACGGTAATTTCCCAATAAAAAAATAAAAACAATTGATTTTGTAAATTTTCAAAATACGATTTGAAAGTTTTTCAAAAATATTGATTTGAAAATTTTCAAATCCGAGTTAAAAGTTTTTGTATTTTGAGCTGAAAGTTTTCAAATTTGAGTTGAATGTTTCAAATTTCAGTTGAAAGTTTTTAAAAGCTGAGATGAAAAGTTGAATGTTTTCAAATTTAAGTTGAAAGTTTCAAATTTCAGTTGAAAATTTTTAAAAGTTGAGATAAAAAGTTGAAAGTTTTCAAAATTTGACTTCAAAAATTTCAAATTTTAAGTTGAAAGTTTTCAAATCCAAGTTGAAAGTTTCAAATTTCAGTTGAAAGTTTTTAAAAGCTGAGATGAAAAAAGGAAAAAAAAAGGAAACGTGGCTGCGCTAAAAAAGAAAAAAAGAAAAGAAAGAAACACACGTACTCCGTATGGGCTTTGGGCTTTTGGCAACTTTTGGCAGCGTATGCGCCAATTAGCATTTGCCAAAAAACTGTATTGAGTTTTACATGTTTTCAATTTAAAATAATAAATAAACATAATTAATATTTAATTTCAAAAAATAAAGAAAAAGTTCTAGTAAGTCAGGCTATTCAAAGTCAATCTCACAGCCTAGCCCGAATTTAAACGGTATACTTCATAGCATCTGTAGGTTGTAGCCCATCAAACCAATAAGTGGTCTGAGGGCCCGCTACTAATATATAGGCCCATCATAGCATCACGGTATCGATCGTCTTCTCCAGCATATCATACTTGTGCTTCACAGACTTAACTATCATTGGAGGACACACCCACCTACGGTGGCCATGGCCACTTAGGGCAAGTACTATGGGCATCCAAGCACAATCTCCTAGATACCACATAAGCTAAAATAGTGAGGTGGAGGAGAGAAGAGATAAGAGAGATAAGCAGCCACCTCTCATGCAAGAGGCAACCACTACACAAAATTTAAGACAAAAGGAGAGAGGGGAAGAGTAGATTGGGCAAACAAACATTAGGGCTAGTGTATTAGAATTAGTATAGATGTGATATATTGTACATGTTACCTCTACATTTATTTGTTGATGATGTGGTCAAAATTAGATGCAACATCCACCTCTTTTATAAAACTTGCCCTTACATAGCTTTGCGCACTATTTACGGTTATATAATTTTCTATTTGTAAAGGTGAAAATTCAAGTTACTCCATATATTTGTGAAGTGGTATATCAATTATCACATACCCAAAGAAAAGAAAAAAAGAACTATACTAGAGTATAGTTACTACTATACGAGAGTATAGTTACTTGGATTCACCAGACACTGTTTATTTCTTAGTTCTAAGACTCCGAGTTCATTTTGATGTGTATTTGTTCTAGACTTGTTGATCTGCCGACGCAAATCTCCCCTGCTGGTGTTTGCTCTCATTGTCACTGCTGCTGCTGCTCTCTGCAGCGGGTGGTGCAGCAGCGTCTTCTTCCTGCTGTCCGGCGGCGACCGTGAGCGTGTCGTGCTCCTTGCTCTTGCCCCAGAGCACGCTGTAGAGGCCGGCCACCATCAGGACCCCGCCGACGACGCTGCCGAGGTGGACGACCTCGCCGAGGAAGAAGGAGGAGCAGAAGATGGTGAAGACGAAGCTGAGCGGGCTGGACATGGCCAGGAACACGGGCCCCTTCTTCTGGATGCACCACGCCTGGAGGTAGTAGGAGACCCCGGTGACGGCGACGGCGGAGTAGGCGACGGCGAGGAGGCCGGCGTCGAGCCGCAGCCTCCGCGCCGCCGGGTTCCGCGCCGCCGCCGCCGCCGCGAGCACCAGCGACTGCGCCGCGCTGAGCAGGGACTGCAGCGCCGTGGCCAGCATCTTGCAGGGGTACTCGTTGAGCAGCGGCGACATGAGCACGATCCAGAGCGACCACGTCACGTTGGACAGCAGCATCAGGAGCGTCCCCGTCACCCACCTCGCCCTCGTCGCCGCGCCACTGCTTCCGCTCTCTGCGCCGCCGCCGAACGCGCGGTGGTGGTTCAGGGGGCTTAACGCCGGCCCGGAGTAGAGCGCGATCACCAGCACGCCGCCGAGGCATAGCCCCACTCCGGCCACCTTCGCCACGCCCGACAAGCGCCTCAGCCGGATCACTTCCAGCCTGCACACATGCATGCATTCAGATATATTCATATCAGATCGATCAACTGCGCGCATGCATTTTTCGGTAGCAACTAGCAATTTTACCGTCCAATATTTGAAACCTCGAGGTAGCATATTTGCACAAAAAATTTTGGTACTTGAAGGTACTGAGTACCCTCGAGATACCAAATTTTACGCTAGAAAGTATCTTAAAATACTAAAGTTTTGTGATACCAATGTTGATAATATTATCGTTCTACAAACATAAATGAGATTTACTCTAGTCCAGCAAAAAGTAGGTACCGGTACCTCACGGTATTGAGATCCAACGATCGGAAACGATTTGGTACTATAATGTACCGGTACCTCGATGCACTACAAGAAAACGGAATGTCCTTGGCGGGCTAATTATTATGTTGGCCGACCGCTAAGTAAATACAGCTACATTTTAAGTGAGCAGGACATTCCGGAGCAAATATATGTACTTTTATGTTGGGGAGCAAATCTTTTTCCCTTATTTTTCTTAATTTTATATCTCACAAACGAAATTGGGTTTACACTTAAAACTTTGCATGGTTGTCTAATATTTTCTTATAAAAAAATTAAAACTAGATTTTTTAAAAAAAATGATTGAAAACTTTTATATCATTAAAAGAGAAAAGACAACAGCATGAATAGTGTTTTTTTTGTTAATTTTGTATCTCATTAAAAGTTGAGTTTGTTTATACAATTTTGCAAGGTTTTTTATTTGCATATTACCTACATGTGTTCTTGTTTGATTCTTCTTTTAAGAATTGTTATATAAAGTGTTTAAGTTTTCACTTAAAATGTGGTTTCCACCGTAAATCAGCTAAAAGGGATAGGAAAGTATAGTCTTTCTTCTCAATTAGTTTTGAAACTTTGTTAAGCTACCTTACCAGTATATCCATGAATAATGATATGATGTCACCATCTAGGACAATAATATGATGTCTAGGACTAGGAGAGAATGTCATAATAATTTTGATGATGTGGAGCCAAGAAACTGATGATAGACAAAATAAAGGACGTCGTGTGCTCATTAGCAACCCTTTTTAAAAAGAGATGATAGATAGCTTAATATCATATACTCTCTATGTTTTATAAAAAATAAAGTAGTTGATTTTTGATATAAAGTTTGACTATTCAACTTATTAAAAAAATATAAAAACACCATTTATTTTCTTGTAACTTATTTTATCATTAAAGAAATTTTTAAGTATGATATGTTTTAGCATACTTACAATATCTTTTAATAAGACAGAAGGTCACACGTTATTTTAAAAATCAACAGGGTCATCTATTTAAAAATACATAAATAGTACTATCTCTAGAACTAAATTGTTAATTATACTATAGACAACTTGTTATACGAGGTTTATATAACTAAATCGTTGATTACACTATAGACAACGTGTTGTACGAGGTTTTCTATATATTGTATAGATACAACGTGAAAAGGTTGGATCCATGGACCAACATGATATGATCGACCAATGCACGCGTGGGTGCATATGCATATGCAAGAATTTTTTTTTTTGAACGGATATGCATATGCAAGAATACAGTGCTGATGGATTTCAGTTGAGACGATCTCATCGAGCAGCTGCTGATGCTATATTGCTATGCCGGCAGCGAAGCAGCGCACAACTTGAGAGCTGAGAGAGCACGGAAAAAACATGATGCTCCTACGAGAGCAGAGCAGCTGATCGAAATGTAACGGCCACATGCGGCGCACGTGCGAGATTAAGATTCTGTTGGCCACGTTAATTTGGTCATGGATCTGCCCGTACATCGACTGCGTTTGTTTCTCCGCCTGCCAACACTGAACCTCTGAACCTCTTCTATTTTACTACCTCCATATTTTAATTTTAATGTATGACGTCGTTGACTTTTTGCTCAACGTTTGACCATTCGTCTTATTCAAAAAATTTATGTAATTATTATTTATTTTATTGTGACTTGATTTATCAAATGTTCTTTAAACATGATATAAATAATTTTTATATTTGCACAAAATTTTTGAATAAAACGAATGGTCAAACATTGGTCGAAAAGTCAACAGTGTCATACATTAAAATACGGAGAGGGTAATAATTATTCCATTTATGTTTATTCTAGGACTGTGTTCGAGTGGAGAAGAAAAGACAACAAGATAACAAAACAACATGAGCTATTAGCATATGATTAATTGAGTATTGATTATTTTAGACTTAAAAATAGATATTTTAAAATAACCTTCTTATATTTTTTTATAAAAACAATGTTTAACAATTTAAGAAATATGTGCCAAAAAAACAAGAGATTTCTTTCTCATCCGAACGAACACAGTAATCGGTGACTATACTCTGTACTACAAACTTACAACACGCATTAAGCATCTGCTCAGGTGTGTTCTTTACTCCATATTCGCAAGTTCTACCCTCTTATTTTTCACGCGCGCGCTTTTTAAATTACTAAACGGTGTGTTTTTTAAAAAAAGATTATATAAAAAAGTTGCTTAATAAAATCAAAATAATCCATTTTCAATTTTTTAAACTAATACTTAATTAATTATGCATTAATTCGTCACTCTGTTTTACATGCAAGGAGAAAGTATTTTTAACCCCCTTAAAAGAACACACCTAGGAGTAGTACCATAACACTAGCATTGTTAGCTTATCATGAATGCGGAGAAAGGCTAGCAATGCTATTCATGCCCTGATAGAAATGGGAGAGGATCCCATCTCTTTCTAAAAAAACAGCTAACAAATTTACAAAAGTAGAGTCTTTCTTTTCTGTAAATTCTGGAATCTGTTTATGCTATCATTTCTAGGAGAGGATATGATCCCCTCTCTTTGTACAAAGAAACAGCAACAAATTAAGTATGCAGCGATGAGATCGTGCTCACCTTAGTAGGACTGCGAAGAAGAAGGTCAGTACGGGCACCGAGCTGGCTGCCGCCGATGCCACCGTCGACGAAGTGTACTTGAGGCCCGTGTTGTACAGGTTAAAGCTTATTGTGTTCCTGCAAATCAAATCAAACCCAAGTTAATGACACGCGTGTTTGCCCATCCAAATCCTGCCTGCAGTGCTGTACTGCTGTGTCTACTCATACCCAAGCAGAGCATACAAGAAAAGCTTGGCAAACAGCCGGATCGACATCGGCGGCGCATTTTTCCTGCATGAAAGCAAGCTCAAATTTAGCAGAATCTCAATCTCTCTTTTATCAGCTACCCAGGCTAACCGACCCAAAAAAGAATATTTCAAATTTTCAATACAGCTATAGTAGATTAGATAGCTCTTCTTGATCGATCGACCGGTTACCGTTCGAGAATAATGGCGAGAGGCAGCAGCAGGAGAGAGGCAGCTGCCTGGCGGTAGAAGATGAAGATGAAGGTGTTCGTCCCATGGTTGAAGGCTGCCTTGGTGACGACGAACAGGCCAGTGTAGATCACCTGTATGATGATAGCAATGAAATATGGCTTCTTGGCATCCATGGCTTGTACGTCAGCTTCTGCGAACCCTGAAACCGAATACGAGGCAATGCTTTTGCCCTCCTTTCAAAAAAAAGAAAGAAAAGAAAGAAACAGAATACGGCTTCAGGGTGAGACGAGAGACGATCGAGAGAGAGTGCAGAGTCTTATATAATCTGCTACCTCTTTGCAGTACAGTACTGTTGGCTGTTTCACACTTGCACTTGCACAAGCCCAGCTGATGTTTTCAGAAGAAAACTGCTATCTTTTCTTTAAGAATGGAATCCATTCACAAGGTATGCTAAATAAATATTAATATTTCGTCGTGGATCATTTTAAATTAGGATAAATCCATTTGACCTTCCCTCAGCTGGTCACGTGCCAATTTAGTCCGAGAAAAGAATCTACAGTACCCACATGGCATACTCTCTTTTTATTTCTCTTTTCATTTTTTATCCTATGTATCTATAAAGCTCATCCCCCGCAATTAATGCTAATTCTTTTTCTCTCATAAAATTATAATCACTTCTCTGTCGAGATCCCCTCCAACATACAAAGTTGAGCGGTCTCGCTCCACAAATTTCGTTGCCAAGCTCCTCCCAGATTCTAACATGATAGACCATCCGAATAGTTGCGAAAAAATTGACAACATAAATCAATATGAGATATACCATTTTACAAACATACAAGTTTAATGTACAAGTTAAACAAAAGAAAATTCTGACTATCACGTACACTATTTACATTCATATTTCTTATTTTCGTTTCATACTTGTATGCGTTGAATCTGAAATTATATGTTTCTGAAGTAATATATCACATGTTATAATCAATGTTGTCAAGAAAATTTTAAATTTTTGTAGCTATTTAAATAGCATGTAAGAAACGAGGACTTTTCCTTAAGAAGAAAAAAAAACTCCCCTTTTTCAAAACATGATTAGTACTGAATTTTCACTGTGCGTTCAAAGCTCACAAGGACCAACTTACAAGTAAGGTTTTTGTTCCCTTGTACCTAGAGACGAAAAGATGATCACCACTCTTGAACCAAATCTGAAGTTTTGAACCTCGCGTGGCAGTGAGCTCCACACTACACAGTAGTACAGAGTACACACGCTATACGCCTCTCCTTGTTCTGCTCGACGACCGGAGCCATGTCCCGTGTTCACCTCCTCCTCCTCCTCGTATTTTACATCCCAGCCGCCATTGCTTCTCGTCGAAATCTCCGGCTGTCCCCCGCCGACATCGCCGTCCCCGACGCGGCTGCGGCCGACACGCCGACTACCTACTTCGAGGTGGACCGGCCGCTCCGGCCGCCTCCGGGGAGCTCCGGCCCATGCTCCACCCTGCTCCTGTCCAGCTCCTTCGGCTTCACCTACACCAAGCCACCGGTCACCGCCGCGTACTCCCCGCCCGATTGCCTCGCCGCGGCGGGCGGCGGCGCGCCGGCCATCTCGCTTGCTGTTCTCGAGTGGCGCGCCACCTGCCGCGGCGTCCAGTTCGACCGCATCTTTGGAGTTTGGCTCGGCGGCGTCGAGCTCCTCCGCAGCTGCACGGCGGAGCCGAGGCCCAATGGCATTGTGTGGTCCGTCTCCAAAGACGTCACCAGGTACGCGTCCCTCCTCGCCGCCGGCAACTCCACCCTCGCCGTCTACCTCGGCAACCTCATCGACGACCAGTACACCGGCGTGTACCATGCCAACATCACACTGCATCTTTACTTCGGCCCAACGCCGGCGAGGCAACCGGCGCCGGCCACGGCTCCCGCCGACATCATCGTCCCCGTCTCGAGAAGCTTGCCTTTGAACGACGGGCTGTGGTTCCAGATCCAGAACGCCACCGACGTCGAGTCGGCGAGCATCGTGCTGCCGTCGAACACCTACCGCGCGGTTCTCGAGGTGTACGTCTCGTTCCACGGCGACGACGAGTTCTGGTACACCCACACGCCGGACGGCAACGGCCCGTTCCGCGAGGTCACCGTCCTGGTCGACGGCGACCTCGTCGGCGCCGTGTGGCCGTTCCCCGTGATCTTCACCGGCGGCATTAACCCCCTCCTCTGGCGGCCGATCACCGGCATCGGCTCGTTCAACCTGCCGACGTACGACATCGAGCTGACGCCTTTCCTTGCCAAGCTGCTGGACGGCAAGGCGCACGAGCTCGCGTTCGCGGTGACCAACGCCGTCGACGTGTGGTACGTCGACGGCAACCTCCACCTCTGGCTGGACCCGATGACCACGGCGACGACGGGGAGCCTCGTCAGCTACGACGCGCCGCGGCTAGCCGCGGTAAACACGAGCCACACGACGGCGTCGCGGTTCGACGGCCTCAGCGAGCGGTACTACTACCACACGACGGCGAGCAGGCGCATCTCCGCCGCCGGGTGGGTGGAGTCGCCGTCGCACGGGAGGATCACGACGAACGCGACGCAGACGTTCGCCTTCGAGAACACCTACGCGTTCGCCGGCGACGGCAGCGCCGAGACGGTGAACCAGACCACCGTCGCCGACGCGGCCGTCTCGGCCACCGACCTCGCCGGCGCCGTCCTCTACTCGCGGCAGGCGCACCACGACTTCCCGCTCTACGTGGACATCGAAGCGAAGACGTCGCCCCACGCCGCGGACGTCACGTACACGGTGGCGAGGGAGTACCGCGAGACGGCGATCGCCGCCGGGAGGTGGCTGTCCTCCGGTACCCCGCCGCGGCGGTACTCTCTCCGCGACACGCAGAGCGGCGCCGTCGACGTCGAGATGCGCGACGGGAACGCGGTGTCGGCGACGTGGGGCACGCGGCAGACGTACAGGCTCGAGGCCACCGACGGCTGCTACTTCAGGAACGTGACGAGCAGCGGGTACAGCGTAGCGTCCGACGAGTCCGACGAGGTTTGCTCGGATTCCCAGGAATATCCAGCCGGTGGCGCCGTCATCGGGGCGCTGCCGCCGGCGGAGGCGGCGGCGGCGGTGACAGCAAGCGCCGACGAGCTCGTCAGGAAGTGATCACTACTAATCGCACACTGGCAGTGATAGTTGGTGGGGTATAGCCTGCCAAACCAAAATTATTGGTGGGCTCAAATGCGAAGCAACGGACAACAACTGGATCACGAGCCCAAGTTCCGATTCGTTTTGTTTCATGCAATTTATGGGCTTCACACCACGCGCCGAAGTTAGGTCTGGTTTGGAACGTTTTTTTCTGTTTTTCTACTACCTGAATCAAAACTCAAACTTGACTTTGGATAAAGTTTCATGTAAAACCTGTCTACGGCTGCATTAGAAATTTGGTAGAAATCGCAACGGATCAGATATATCATATACAAATATCTACCCTGAAAAGGCGTGCATGCAACCGTACTCTACGTATATATCCCGTGCAAGTTGCTCAATTGATCCGCCAGTGCGGCAGGGCCAAGAGAAAATGGAAGGGATATCGAACCGAAACCGCACACCTCACTGTCCTCATCCGAATATCCACCTCCAGAGAGACCGACACGCGGGCCCCACCTGCCATAGACAGACCTCACCCCACCACTTCGGGACGTTAGGCGAGACGTCGCGGTCGGACAACATACGCGCCACAGTCGCCCCCCGGGCCCACGAATCCGGGGGCCCACCCGTCAGCGAGGCCCGCGCGCGCCACGTGGACCGGGCCGGACCGGGGGGGAGCCTGCTTGGCCCGAACCATATCAGAGGAGGAGAGTGACAAGTCAAGTTTGTTTGGTTTGCCTTGCCTTTGCCTCCGGTTGGTGCGAGGCAGCCATCGTCGAGCCCCCCGATCCGCAGCGCCGCAGCTACGCAGATTTGCGCTGCGACGATCGAGCTGGACCGACGAAAAGGAGGAAATGTTTTGGCTTTTGCTTGGACGACATGGTTTCCCCTCCTCGATCGCGCTCGGCGCGTCGGGCTCAGAGAAAGGCTGGAGAGAAAACGAGGTACAGATCGATCGCAGCCATGTCTCCTGCCCGATTTATGTCGGGAATCGCAGCTTCAGCGACCACTGATTCGTTATTCAGCGGCTAAATTGTGTTTTCTGTACACACGCAATTAAGCCAGATAGGTGCAGTTTCAACCTTGTTTAAGAGGGCACAGTTGACAGTCTCATCAAAATCTCTACTTCCCTTGGGTACAAAAAAATGTCATCAAAGCAGACCGTTTCTGTAGTACGTATTCTGCATCTGCTTGCTTCTTCTGAGCTTAAATGCATGCTTAGCTGAGAGTAGGAGAATCTTTGCACTGCTGAACCTAGTTAAAGAAAAGCTGAATGCCTATCTTGAACGTGAAGGGAGAGGATCGGTCACGTTAACCTGTTTGAAAGTGGCCTTTTTAAAATTCATGGGAACATGTACGTAACCGGTACAAATTACAAATACATGTGCAATGTGGTGACGCTGACATATACTACAACTATATTAATGTGCCCCTTGATTTTTCCAGCTATAGAATGTTTGTGATGAGGAACGGCCGACAGTGTCATCAGCATGTACCTTGTCATCCATTGACCATAGGCCATAGGGAGCTGAGACAGTATCCCTGCTTCAAGAGAACAAAACGAAACGAAATTAATTTATTTTTTAAGAAATTCAAATTCAGTTTAGTCATCATCCACAAGCTGTTTTTATGTGTGGATGTGTGATCCTGCTTGACGACAGCCTACGCGACATCGAGTCATTGATCCATTTTAGTGGAGATCGGAACATTGGAAGTGTATTTCCAGCTGGTTTGGGTCCCCCCAAAGGGTGATTATTGGATCATCACAGAAAATTTCATAAATTAATTTGTTTTTGGCTCTGTATTTATCGGTTAGTATACTAGTAGACAATTTGAAGTGTCCCCAAAGCCGAATAACTCCTCTACCTACTCAGCACTTTGCATTGTTATTATACGGCACTCAGAATACATTTGTTTACACGACCGGATATTGTTGTTCTTGCCTAGATTCATATACTACTGAAAAAAAAAACAAAACACAAACCTTATACTAGCTTGGGATTCGTTGTCATTTTGTCATCAATCAACTGAATTTTCTCGAAATTATCCTCTCTGCTTTTGCGGCGAGAGTTTAAATTCGCAGCCTTCTGCAAGACACCACACAAGCGTTGCGTTGCCTTCCTCCACACTGAAACCATGACAACTTCCTCTGCTCCTCTCCTGCTGCTGTGTCTCTGCTTCACTCTGCTCGTCCTCCACTTCCGCTCGTGCGCCGCGTCGCCTCGTGACCTCCGCTTCTCCGCCGCCGACATCGCCGCCGTCGAGGCGGTGCTGCCGTCGCTGCGGCGAGCCAGGAACACCTTCTTCGAGGTCGAACGGCCGCTGCGGCCGCCGCGGGGGAGCTCCGGCCCGTGCTCGACGCTGCTCCTCTCCCACTCCTTCGCGTTCACCTTCACCAAGCCGCCTGCGACCGCGGCCTACTCGCCGCCGCCGTGCCTCGCTGACGCCGCCGGCGGCGCGCGCGCCGTCTCCCTCGCGGTGCTCGAGTGGCGCGCCGACTGCCGCGGCACGCAGTATGACCGCATCTTCGGCGTCTGGCTCGGCGGGGCGGAGCTCATGCGGGGGAGCACCGCCGAGCCGCGCCCCGGCGGCGTCACTTGGTCGGTGCACAAGGACGTCACCAAGTACGCGTCACTCCTCGCCGCCGGCAACTCCACGCTCGCCGTGTACCTCGGCAACCTCATCGACGAGACGTACAACGGCGTGTACAACGCCGACCTCACGCTCCACCTCTACTTCCGGCGCGCCGCGCGGTCGCCGACGGCGGCGTCGGCTCCGGCCGACGTCGTCGTCCCCGTCTCGAGAAGCCTTCCTCTCAACGACGGGCTGTGGTTCGTGGTCGACAACACCACCGACGTCGAGTCGGCGCGGCTCACCGTGCCGCCCAACGCGTACCGCGCGGTGCTCGAGGTGTATGTCTCGTCCCACAACTTCGACGAGTTCTGGTACATGAACACGCCGGACCAGAACGGGCCGTTCCGCGAGGTCACCGTCCATCTCGACGGCGACGTCGTGGGCGCCGTGTGGCCGTTCCCGGTGATCTACACCGGCGGAATCAACCCCCTCATCTGGCGCCCCATCACCAGCATTGGCTCGTTCAACTTCCCCAGCTACGACGTCGAGCTCACGCCGTTCTTGGGCAAGCTGCTCGACGGCAAGGAGCACGAGCTCGGGTTCGCGGTGACCAACGCGCAGAAGTCATGGTACGTGGACGCCAACCTCCATCTCTGGCTCGACCCCAAGAGCGTGGCGACCTCCGGTGGCCTCGTCGCCTACGACGCCCCGAAATTGACCGGCAAGATCGTCTCCAACTCCTCCGACGGCATCGACGGGCAGTACGACGCGACGGCGAGCCGCAACATCACGGCCACGGGGTGGGTCCGCTCGTCGCGCGGCAACATCACCACCACGTTCACCCAGCGGCTCACGTTCGTGCACACGAACGTGGTGACCAGCCAGGGAAGCTCGCAGGCGATCAACCAGACGACGGAGGCGCGCACCGAGGTGGTCACCGGCGACGGCGCGCACGCGCTGCAGCTCCACCAGAGCTTCCCGCTCTACATCTTCCTGGGCGGCGACGGCAGCGGCACGTCCTCGCAGCGGCTGATGCGGCGCGTGGCGATCGGCTTCGACGAGACGCGCGCGGCGGGCGCGGGCGGGAGTTCGTCGGCAGCGAGCACGCTCCACAACGAACAGACGGCGGCGGCGGAGGTGGTGCTCCGGGACGACCAGGTGGTCGGCGCGTCGTGGCGGATGCACCAGGTGTACGAGTACGGCGGCAGCGACGGCGGCTGCTACTCGAGGAACGTGAGCAGCGTCGGCTACGACGTGCTATTCGACCACAATGAGGAGTCGTGCGCCGGGACGCGCCGACGTTGACGCCTGTCGGCGCCGGCGCGGCGTGGCGTGGCGTGGCGCGGCGCGCGTAGGGATAGAGCGAGTGGATAGGGGGCCCGGAAGAGATCGACAGGGTGTAAATGGAACGGAAGGTGGGCCAGTGTGTGCTGGCGGGCCCTACTTAAGTCTTTGCAATTATTGATGGATCACTCCAGTGTCCTTAACCTTGAATAAGAAATGGTATGATTGTACGTAAAACCCAGATGTAAAGGAGAATTGACTGCAGATCCTAATGGAAACTTTCTGACATGTGAATCCATTTCATCCTGTACTTCCTTTCGTTAGAGACAAAATGCTTTGGGTTAAGGTCGATGTATAATAATAGAGCCAATGGGTGCCTTACTGCCTTAATGTGAGATCTATCTAGGAGTAGTGTTTTTGACACATTTTAGAGCGGGATTATCCAAGTCAATTTTAAGTTTTAACCTATTTCTAACTCTATCCAATTTAGATCCAAAGACTCGCATCCATCTACATCTTTATATCGCATACCTTAAGCCACACCACCTATCATAACCTAACCTAGCGACCGGCCCACCACCACTAAGCCACCTCCTATGCCACCGCTATTTCTTCTATGCATGATGTCTTTGACCTTGAGTTTTTTGGCGATGCTACCACCAGTGCCAGTGAGGAGCACAACATTCATTCACCTCTATTGTCACTGTTGCATTGAAGTACAAGCAGTGCACCGATAAACATCTCGCATGTGTGCATGTAATAAGGATAAGATTAGTGAACTCTATTGTGCAGTATTTCATGGGAGTGAAGGAAAAAGAGAAGCAACGAGGCATAAACACTCTTCATGAATGGCTCAAGACTAGTGTGAAGTGTAAAAAAACTTTCCTCTAACAAACTCCCCTTCCTCTCTAGCGTAAGAGAGAGAAAAATACTTTAGTCGCGGGAGACAGTGGCAGATCATAGTAGAGTACGTAGAGAACAGAGAGTGAGACATGTGACATTAGCTAGACTGCCACTGAATAACAATAAAATCGAGGACGGTAATGGTACATTAGTGAAAGACAATATAGAAATGTTGTTTGTTGTCGGTGTGTTGGGTTTCAGAGAGGAAAGGAGAGAAATTATACATGGTTCGATATAGAGAGCAGATCTAAATATAGATATGAGAAATGACAACCTGAAAATTTAAATGCGATGCAAAAATACTCTAGTACTGTCTAGACAGTGATGATCCCAACATAGGGGTAAGGTGGGATTGAGCCTCTCCTGTTGTTGACCAGACCTACTATACATACTCTTCAATTCTCATATATTTATATATGAAGTTTAGATTTGTCTTATATTTAGTGCATGTTATTCCATTAGCACCCTCTAAAATTTGATCCTGTGTTCGCCATTCTAGACACCTCCAAGAAAGTTTACCGAAGTGTGTATTTTTACGATTATCACACTTCCTCGGAAAAGTGTCTGTCCCAAACATCGCAAATTTGTAACGTTACACGTCCTTTGCCACCAGTAGAGCGTCCATAAAAGTCGGCCAAATAAATTAGCAAACGTATTCGGCCGTTATAGCTCCTACTCCGCCGAATTTTCTGCGCTGCCGCAAAATGAGTACACCAAGAATTGAAGCAGCTATCCATCCTCGTGTCACGTCACGTTAGCTATCCATCGTAATTACACACACATAACACAATCTGTGCATCAACACACACCGGATCGATCGATCCAGTGCGTATTCAATGAAACCACACAGTTCACACCTCATTTTCATTAAGTCGCCCTGAATTGCTTTTGTACATGCCTGTACTGTGCTTTACAAAATCAGGGGCAGAATAACGTAGCGATCAAGAGATGGTCGATGATTCGACGCCAATGCGTACGTACGCCGCAGTCCGCACCGACAAAAAAGCGAAGGCCGATCGAGCTGGCTGGGAAAGCCGGAGGGGCCGAAATGTTTGAGCTTAATGTAATCGATCCTAGCGATAATGTGTGTGTAATCTGGAGAAGATGATGCGCACTACTAGCTTGATTGCTCACCGCTAATGGGTCACAGGCTGGAGCCCTGGAGGTGGACGCGCCGTTGATTAAGAAACCCGCCTCGTCGTCGCACGCTTGCTCTTGTGCATTATTGGATTCTTTTCTTGGATGGTTTAGCACGTGCGTGCAATCACGCTTATGCTTCTATTTGCAATCATTTAGAGATCTTTGATAGCATGTACATGTACAATGTAATAAGTCATTTTTTTTCTTTTTTGGCCGGAATGTTAAGATTGAGGAAAGCAGTTACAAGAAAAACACTTATCAACGATAGGACTGTCGAGTTTAGTTGTGCACACAAGTGTACATCCAAACCACGCGCTAACCACGTAAACACAAACTAGTGAGGAAAGCACCAGACTAGCGCTAAGCGTGGTCGTTTGGTTCCTTGCTTAATTCTACATGTTCTTCCTTAGCTATGGTGTTCCTTCTTTAGATGTCTACTTGTTTATTTCTATCCAAACATGTCAAGAGCTGATGGTTCTATCAACAGAAAAGGAAAAAAAAACAGAAGCCTTACAATTACGGTTGTGTTTAAATCCTTTCAAAGTGGAAAGTTTGTGTTGAAATCGGTACGATATGACTAAAAAGTTGTGTGTATATGACAGATTGATGTGATAAAAAAAGTTAGAAGTTTGGATCTAAACACAGCCCACAAAGAGACAATCCCCAAAAGAAATCTTACATGATAATGATGCCAAAAGTCTTATGTTGACTTGCTGCCCAAAGTGGATGGTAGTCGATGTCACCGCTATGTATAGAGAGGCAGGTAGGCGGCGGTTGTTGTGTGTCATGTAGAGTTGTAGACGTTACGCACAGTGACGCCATCTTTGACAGGCGCAAAAAAGTGAAGTGAAATGCAAAGCAAGGGAGTTGTACGGGCCGGCCCAAGAGGCCCAGCATGCCAAGGCCCCCAAGGCCTCAATCCAGTATACCTGCTCGGGCCCGAGACGCTCTGCGTTATCTATGTCCCGCTTCACGGCCCAAACACAATGGCTTCTCATTGGAATAAGTTCATCTAAGGTCCCTTAACTTGTCAGCGAATTCGATTTTCGTCCTTAACCCCAAAACCATATACAACACGTCCCTCAACTATCAAAACCGGTGCAGATAAGGTCCCTTAGCGGTTTAGATAGCGGTTTTGGCTGACGTGGCGCCTACATGGCTATTTTGACTCAGTCTTCATCTGACGTGGCACTGACATAGCGCTTACGTGGCAATTCGATCTAGAAAAATAATAAAATTTGTGGGACCCGCACGTCAGTTTCACACACATAAATAATAATAAAATGTGGGACCCACGTGGGCCCCACATGTCAACCTCACCTCCTCCTCTTCTTCCTCCTCTCTCTCCCCCATCTCCCGTCGTCTTCATCTCTCGCCCCCATCTCTCTCTATCACCGGTGGAGATAAGGCGCGGCCTCCTCCATGGGCGGCGGCTGGCGAGCTCCCGCTTCCCTACCTGCTTCCCCGCCGCCGCCGCCGTGGGAGGGGAAAGTGGTTGGCGGATATTCTTGTTTTCTTTTTTTGTTTAATCTTTGATTGTGCGTGTATGGAGTTCTGGATTAGGAGAAAAAAAGGTACTTAACTGTCGGTGGATTAGGAGAACATATTAGATCTAGCGTTGGTGGATCCAATTTTAATTTGCAAAAATTTGTCAGTACTTAGCTGTCGGCAGCAGTAGATCTGCAGAAATGGAGTCTTTTTTCTGATTGCTTGGTTGCAACCGATGCAGCGGGCAGATAGAAATGGCGGCGGAGACGTTCCTCTTCACCTCCGAGTCCAGGAACGAGGGTCACCCCGACAAGCTGTGCGACCAGGTGTCCGACGCCGTCCTCGACGTGTGCCTCGCCCAGGACCCCGAGGGCAAGGTGGCGTGCGAGACCTGCACCAAGACAAACATGGTCATGGTGTTCGGCGAGATCACCACCAAGGCCAGCGTCGACTACGAGAAGATCGTCCGCGACACCTGCCGCAACATCGGCTTCGTCTCCGACGACATCGGTCTCGACGCCGACCGCTGCAAGGTGCTCGTCAACATCGAGCAGCAGTCGCCCGACATTGCCCAGGGCGTGCACGGCCACTTCACCAAGCACCCCGAGGAGATCGGCGCCGGCGACCAGGGCCACATGTTCGGCTACGCCACCGACGAGACCCCTGAGCTGATGCCCCTCAGCCACGTCCTCGCCACCAAGCTCGGCGCCCGCCTCACCGAGGTCCGCAAGAACGGCACCTGCGCCTAGCTCAGGCCCGACGGCAAGACCCAGGTCACAGTCGAGTGCCTCAACGACGCCGGCGCCATTGTCCCCGTCCGCGTCCAAATTGTAGGGAAGAAGCGAGAGAGGATAGTGGGAAGAAGGGAGCAGCGACGATGGCATGTGGGGCCCACATGGGTCCCACCTTTTTTATTATTTCTGTGTGTGAAACTGACATGTGGGTCCCACGGATTTTATTATTTTTCTGGATTGGATTGCCACGTAAGCGCCATGTCAGTGCCACGTCAGATGAAGACGGAGTCAAAATAGCCACGTAGGCGCCACGTCAGCCAAAACCGTCATTTAAACCACCGAGGGACCTTATCTACATCGGTTTTGATAGTTGAGGGATCTGTTGTATCTGGTTTTGGGGTTCAAGGACGAAAATCAGATTCGCTGACAAGTTAAGGGACCTTGGATGAACTTATTCCCTTATCATTAGCCAACCTGAACGAAACGTTCAATTGCAAATTTGCAAATGCCCGAGTCCATTCTCTTCGTACTACAGTAAACCACAAAAAAAAATTAAAAAAAACAAAAAGTTAGAAAAAATTATGTATAGAAATACTATGTATAAAAAATTTGAATTCAAATTCAATTTGAATCGGGTATGTAAACTTTTAACTTATAAACTTTGGGTCTATAAACTTTAGGTGTATAAACTTTAGATGTATAGAAATACTATATATAGAAAATATTTGAATTCAAATTCAAATTTGAATTTGAGTATAATTCAAATTCAAATTTGAATCGGGTATATAAACTTTAGGTCTATAAACTTTAGGTGTATAAACTTTAGATGTATAGAAATACTATATATGAAAAATATTTGAATTCAAATTCAAATTTGAATCGGATATTTGAATTCAAATTCAAATTTGAATTAGATATAATTCAAATTCAAATTTGAATCGGATATATAAACTTTAGGTGTATAAACTTTAGATGTATAGAAATACTATATATAAAAAAATATTTAAATTTAAATTCAAATTTGAATCGGATATATAAACTTTTGACTTATAAACTTTTAGTCTTTAAATTTTAGATGTGTAAACTTGAGGTGTATAAACTTGAGATGTATAAATTTACTAAAATAGGAAAGTAATAAAGTGCCAATAAAGGAAACCAGGTGGAGGGATGGAGGGGGAGGGGGTAGCGAATCTGATCGCTGCCCCCATTGGCAGGGCGATCGATCGCCCATTAGGGCTGCCCGAGGGGGGCCCTAATAGGCGATCGCTCGCCTGGAGATGGGGGCAGCGATCAATTCGCCCCCCTCCCTCCCTCCCTCCACCTAGTTTCCTTTTTTGGCACCGCATTACTTTTCTATTTTAGTAAATTTATGCACCTAAAGTTTATACACCTCAAGTTTATACACCTAAAGTTTAGAGACCAAAAGTTTATAAGTCAAAAGTTTATATATCCGATTCAAATTTAAATTTGAACTCAAATATTTTTATATATAGTATTTCTATACATCTAAAGTTTATACACCTAAAGTTTTAGACCTAAAGTTTATACACTTGAAGTTTATATATCCGATTCAAATTTGAATTTGAATTATATCCGATTCAAATTTGAATTTGAATTCAAATATTTTTCATATATAGTACTTCTATACATCTAAAGTTTATACACCTAAAGTTTATATACCCGATTCAAATTTGAATTTGAATTATACCCAATTCAAATTTGAATTTGAATTCAAATATTTTCTATATATAGTATTTCTATACATCTAAAGTTTATAAGTCAAAAATTTACATACCCGATTCAAATTTGAATTTGAATTCAATTTTTTTATACATAAATTTTTTCTAACTTTTTGTTTTTTAAATTTTTTTGTAGTGAACTGTAATAGGAAGAGAAGAAGGGGAGAAGGAAGGGGGAGAAGAGAGAGTAGCACAGGGGGAGGCGCGGGGTGATCGCCAGGGTAGCGCGGGGGCGATCACCGCGCGTTAGGATTTTCGGGAGAGGAGTAGTATAGAGGAGGGAGCGGGCGGGTGATTACAAGACGGACGGGAGAGCGATCACACGACCATTAGCATTTCCGATGGCCGACCATCACCGTGTCGCGGTGTCGGTAATGGTAAGCAGTAAATGATCTTCCAATAGTCGTACCTGAATGCTGCTACACTACAGAGTAATAAATGAGGCCATCAACTGGACTATCCATCACGAATCAGAATTCGGGCAAGCAACGTTTTTTTATTTCCGATTTGGCCGTAGCAGATTACTGTACAGATGCCCGTCATGACTCATGATCCGTTTGGATCAAACGGCGACTAGCAAATTTTCCTTCTCCTACGAGCCTACGAGCGAAGTCTGCGCAGCGTCGTCACTGAGCACGTGCCGTCGTGCTTGTGCAGCGCCTCCCTACCGTGTCCAAGTCCACAATACAGGTCAGAAAAGCTCGTTTTTCCCACTACTACTGACTATTATCTTTGTTTTAAAATAAACTAACTTAAAATAGAATCAAACAGTACAACAAATATAAATAGTCCAAAAAGAAAAAGAAAGAGATAGAACAGTATTCCTTACGACACGCTACTCATGGAAATCTTGCAATTTACACCTATTTCCCGGCAATAAAATCGCCACCAAACCCACGGCCTGGCCCACTGTCAGTACTAAGATAGCTGTGAAAAATATTCTGTAGTACTTTATATGTAATGGCTTACATCGTGAAACGAAGAGAGTAATCTCTTGATGATTTGCTGTAACTACATTCCCTTGATAATCTCACCAACATTACCTTGTTTAAACCGCTGGGTCTTTTTTACTTGCGAGCTCAACTGTCGCCGCCCCCACCTCTCGTACTCCCCACGCTCCAGCCATGGCGTCGCCGCCGACCACGGCCGCCGCCGACCCCGGCCGCCGCCGCCGCCTCCTCCTCGTCGTCGTTGTCCTCCTCCTCCTCCTCCTCCCGCTCGTGGCCTCCGCTGCCGCCGTGCCGCACAGGCACCGGCTGCCGTCCCACCACCTGGCCTCGCTCAAACTCAACGCATCGGCGCCGCCGACCACTTACTTCGAGGTGGATCGCCCGATCCGCCCGCCGCGCGGCAGCGTCGGGCCCTGCTCGACGCTGCTCCTCTCCAACTCCTTCGGAGCCACCTACGGCCGTCCCCCTGTCACCGCCGCCTACGCGCCGCCTTCCTGCCTCGCCGGCGGCGGTGGCGGCGGCGGCGGCGCGTCGTCCATCGCGCTCGCCGTGCTCGAGTGGAGCGCCGACTGCCGCGGCCGCCAGTTCGACCGCATCTTCGGCGTGTGGCTCTCCGGCGCCGAGCTCCTGCGCAGCTGCACCGCGGAGCCGCGCGCCACGGGCATCGTCTGGTCCGTGTCCCGCGACGTCACGAGGTACGCGGCGCTCCTAGCCGAGCCCGGCGAGATCGCGGTGTACCTCGGGAACCTCGTCGACAGCACGTACACCGGCGTCTACCACGCCAACCTCACGCTCCACCTCTACTTCCACCCCGCGCCGCCGCCTCCGCCTCCGCCGCAGCAGGCCGATCTGATCGTGCCCATCTCAAGAAGCTTGCCGCTGAACGATGGCCAATGGTTCGCCATCCAGAACTCCACCGATGTGCAGGGCAAGAGGCTCGCCATTCCGTCGAACACCTACCGGGCGATCCTTGAGGTGTTCGTCTCCTTCCACTCCAACGATGAATTCTGGTACACAAACCCTCCCAATGAGTACATTGAAGCAAATAACTTGTCCAATGTCCCTGGCAATGGCGCATTCCGGGAGGTTGTTGTTAAAGTCAATGATGATATCGTTGGAGCTATTTGGCCTTTCACCGTGATTTACACTGGCGGTGTCAATCCTCTTCTGTGGCGACCAATCACCGGCATTGGTTCATTCAACCTACCTACATATGACATTGACATTACACCTTTCTTGGGCAAGCTGTTGGATGGCAAGGAGCATGATTTTGGGTTCGGTGTGACTAATGCGCTGGATGTGTGGTATATTGATGCCAATTTGCATCTATGGTTGGATCACAAGAGTGAGGAGACTACTGGGAGCCTGATCAGCTATGAAGCTCAAGGACTGGTTCTGAATGTGGACTCGGGATTCAGTGGGCTGGATGGGCAGTTTGTAACTAGCGCAAGCCGTCATATCTCCGCTACCGGGTTGGTGAAATCGTCTTATGGGGAGGTCACCACGAATTTTTACCAGAGATTCAGTTATGTGAATAGCAATGTGTATAGCAAGAACGGCTCGGTGCAAGTGGTGAACCAAACCATTGATGCAAAGTCTGGTGTTTTTGCCAAGGATGCTTTGGCTGTGCTGCTCTCTGAGGAACTTCACCAGATCTTCCCTCTGTATGTTTATACTGGTACTTCAGATGAAGAAGCTGATGAGTACACATTGATTTCACACGTCAAATTGGGCGTCAACGAGAAGGAGACATCGGGCGGGAAGATGGGGTTCTCATACAACTCCCTGCGGAACGCGCAGTCGGCCCATGGCAGTATGAAGGTGAAGAAGAATTTGGTCGTTGGTGGATTGGGGGAGACCCATCAGGCGTATAAATATGTTGGTGCTGATGGATGCTACTTCAGGGATGTTAGGAGCAAGAACTACACAGTGCTTTCAGACCACTCTGGTGATTCCTGCACAAAGAGAAATCCTTACAATGGTGCTAAATTCTCTCTCAGGAACGATCAATCAGCAAGAAGGAAGTTGATGGTGAATAATCTTTAGTGTTGTATAGCTTGGAACAAATAGGGAACTGAACTGTCCATGGTTCTCTCCATTTTACTCTGTCTCTTGATCTCTTCAATAAAGGGAGTTTAGCTTAGCTTATCTTTGATGTGTAGTCAGTAAGAAACTTGGAAATTTCTCTATAACCGCTTCAAATTGAATCCCCCTAGAGAAAAACTTTGAACTTCCCCTGCTAGATAGTGGAAAGTAAGCAATAGGCTATTCAGATCAAGATTCTGAGGGATGCAATCTCTCCCTTTTCTTTTATCTTTCATGTTGAATTGTTTTAGTGTACAGATCCGAGTCCAAACTCCATATGAAGCATATTGACCATTCCAAACCCTGACCCTTTTTTTATGCTTGAACATGTTATCTCTGAATCCCTGATCCATTTTGATCATGTTATCTCTGAATCTCTGATCCATTTTTATCACGGATAGGAGTAATCTTATACACATAATATGATTCAACCAGACGAAAATGCTGCTCATATTTTAGTCTATTTATTTTAAAATAAAAATGTGCTAGCCTCGTAGTCGTAGGTACACTCAACTATACTTCACAGTACCAAGTAGGAGTAGTAGTAGACTAGTAGTCCAGCTTCAGCTTCACGCCACCGGTTCGCGCTCCAGCCACCGGCCATGGCGTCGCGGGGCACCACCAGCTCATGCCTGCTCGCCCTCCTCCTCTTGCTGCTCCTCCCCATCGCGCCGCTCGCCGCGCCGCGGAGGAGCCGCTTCCCGTCGACCCTCCGCCTCGCCTCCTTCGACGCGTCGCCGCCGCCGCCGCCGACCACCTTCTTCGAGGTGGACCGCCCGATCCGGCCGCCGCGCGGCAGCGTCGGGCCCTGCTCGACGCTGCTCCTCTCCCACTCCTTCGGCTACACCTACGGCCGTGGCCCCGTCACGGTCGCCTACGCGCCGCCCGCCTGCCTCGCCGCCGGCGCCGCCGCGGGCGGGTCCCTCGCGCTCGCCGTGCTCGAGTGGAGCGCCGACTGCAGGGGCCGCCAGTTCGACCGCATCTTCGGCGTGTGGCTCTCCGGCGCCGAGCTCCTGCGCAGCTGCACCGCGGAGCCGCGCGCCACCGGCATCGTCTGGTCCGTGTCGCGCGACGTCTCGAGGTACACGGCGCTCCTTGCGGCGCCCGGGGAGGTCGCGGTCTACCTCGGCAACCTCATCGATGACACCTACACTGGCGTCTACCACGCCAACCTCACGCTCCACCTCTACTTCCACCCAGCGGCGGCGCCGCCGCCGCCGGAGCAGCAGCAGCAGCAGCAGCAGCAGCATGCCGATCTGATCTTTCCTATCTCAAGAAGCTTACCATTAAACGACGGGCAGTGGTTCGCCATCCAGAACTCCACCAATGTGCAGTCCAAGAAGCTCGTCATTCCGTCGAACACCTACAGGGCGGTCCTCGAGGTGTTCGTCTCTTTCCACTCAAACGACGAGGACTGGTACATGCACCCACCGAATGAATACATCGAAGCCAACAACATCTCCATCCTCCCTGGCAATGGCGCATTCCGGGAGATCACTGTTCAGCTCGACGGCGATGTCGTCGGAGCTGTTTGGCCCTTCACTGTTATCTACACTGGTGGTGTCAACCCGCTTTTCTGGAGGCCTATCACTGCCATTGGTTCATTCAATCTCCCAACTTATGACATTGATATCACTCCTTTTCTTGGTAAGCTCTTGGATGGCAAAGAGCATAATTTTGGGTTTAGTGTAACAAATGCTTTGGATGTATGGTTCATTGATGCCAATCTGCATATTTGGTTGGATCATAAGAGTGAGAAGACATTTGGGAGCTTGGTGAGCTATGAGGCTCCCAAATTGACACTTCATGTGGATTCGAATTTCAGCGCGCTGGATGGGCGGTTTGTGACAAGCGCGGGCCGGCATATCTCTGCCACTGGGTGGGTGAACTCGTCGTATGGCAATGTTATGACAACTTTCTACCAGAGGTTCAGCTACAAGAACAGCAATTTGTATAGCAAGAATGGTACATTTCAAGTGGTGAACCAAACAATCGATGCAAAGTCTGGTGTTTTTGCCAAAAGCAGCGTTGTGCTGTTCTTGGAGGAAGTTCATAGGACCTTCCCATTATATATTTTTTCTGGAACCTCGGACCAAGTGGGTGATGAGTACTCGTTGGTTTCGGTTGTGAAAATGGGCTTCAATGAGAGGAGGATATCTGGCAGGAAGCAAGAGTTTTCATACATCTCTTTGCGGAATGCGCAATCGGCACATGGCTATATGAAGGTAAAGAAGAATTTGGTAGTTGATGGATTAGGGGAGACTAGGGGTGGACAAAAAGCTCGGGCTCGCGAGCTCGGCTCGGGCTTGGCTTGAGCTCGCGAAGCTCGGCTCGGCTCGAAGACTAAACGAGCCAAGCCCGAGCTCCCTCCACAACTCGTTTCCAAACCGAGCCGAGCCCGAGCTAGCTCGCAAGCTGCTCGGTAGGCTTGTCAAGCCTATGGAAAACTGAGTTCCCTGAGCGAGCCCAAGCCCATTAACAATTGTCTGGCCCATGAAAGAGAGAAACCCTAAGTCCTGACTCCTGAGCTGAGCCGAGTGCGAGCAGATCCGATCCCTCCCCTTCCTCGGTTCCTCCGTTCCTCAACTGGCGCTGGCGGCGACTGGCAAGAGGAGTTGCCGGCCGCCGCATCCATCCCCTCCCCAGCGCCAGACCGCCAGCGGCAGGCCGGCAGCGCCGTTCGAAGCCCTCTCTGTGCCGCCGCCGTCGGCCCGCCACCTCCCTTTCCTGCGCGGCTGCGCCATGGGCTCGCCGCCTCACTCCCTGCGCCGCCTACCTCCCCTAGTGTGGCTGCGTCGGCTCCGTCCTCCCTCCACGGCGACGCCCCCTGTGCCGTCGGCCCGCCGCGACGCCGCCTCCCTTCCCTGCACCACCTCCGGCCTCCGTCCACCGTCCCCAGTGCCGCTCGAGCCGAGCTCGACGCCCCCTGCGTCGCCGGCGTCCCTGACTCGACGCCGTCCATCATGACATCACAAGCTGGCTCGAGCCGGCTCGAGCTTTGAAACGAGCCGAGCCGAGCTGCATCTTTTGCTCGTTCAATTAATCAAGCCGAGCCAAGCCGAGCCTGTAGTTGAGCAAGCTTTCACGAGCCGAGCCGAGCTTGGCTCGGCTTGGCTCGTTTCCACCCCTAGGGGAGACCCATCAGGTGTATAAATATGCTGGTACAGATGGATGCTACTCCAGATTTGTGGGCAGCAGGAATTATACCATAATATTCGACAATTCTGGTGATGTTTGCTCCAAGGGATCACCACATAATGGGCCCAAATTCTCCTCTGTGAAGCTTACTTGAAAGATCAGCTAGCAAGATGAAAGTTGCTGGTGAGCAGAGAGCTGCATCGTTTTGGTTATCTCTTGAATAAAGATTGATTAGGTTACTTGAAACATGGAGTTTCTTTATAAATACACTTATTCAAATCAAGTGTGCTACAAGTCGCTAACTCCTCTAAAAAGATAACCAGCTGAATTAAAAGCTAAGAGAAATTACATAGATTCTAGCAAGTAATTCTGTGTGAGGAAAAGACTCCGGGGGGCCTTTCTTCTTGTGGTACTTCTTCCAGCAACGGCTGTGGTTCAACACTTATACTTAGGCGCCCCAGAAAGTCTATCAGTTGGTTCATCTTGAGAGCCAGTCGGCACAGTTGTCTCTGAGCCACCAGTTGAAGGATGACACACACTGCAGCAGTGCAGCTGCACAAGATTTATTGCCAAATTAGCCAATAACAACTAAGACCAAGTGCGGTTTATCTTTTCTAACAAAAAAAAATGTTCCTCAGTAATTTTGTAAATATACCTTGTGTCCTTGCAGTTGCAGATGGAACAGAAATCTGGTGTTGGAATCAACAAAATCTCTCATGTAAAGGTACATTAGATTGGAACTCTTGTAAAATTATATCAAATTTCTTTGTTCTTGTTCATGTGTTCATTGAATTAAACCTGTAGTGTAGGGCTCACTTGCTGGTTCAATTGATTCGAGGAACAAGTATTCGTTCCATGATTTTCTTTTCGGGAGTAGATAGATGTGAAAATCTTGCAGTTTTGGGTGAAATGCTTACCTGTAAGTGGTTCTGGGTGGAATAATGTGTATTGCGCAATTCTGAAGTTGCGCCTGGCTGTACTCACGCAAAAAACAGGCAATTATCACTGGTAACATCAGTAAATCCCAACTTAGGGGGAAAAAATAATGCTAAAAATGAATTTCCTGATTTGATTTTGCGGAAATAACTAGACTATGTCCTTATGTATACGTGGCTCTATCATTGGCAGCAGGGGCGAAGCTAGAATTTAGAGTTTAAGGTGGCTGGTCACGAGACTAAGGGGGTGTTTGGGAGCCTCTCTCCAAAAAATAAGTCTCTACCCTAAGGACTTATTTTTTTTGTCCCAAACACCCCCTAATATGTTGGGAGAACCTATTGGTGGCTCGGCAAACAACAGAGTGGATGTGTGGTTGGCGTCATGTCACGGTGATCAAACGCAGAGCAAAGAACGAAGACTCACATATCATGATTCACATATCAACCGATTACCGGCTCTGCACCTATGGAATGGTAATCTTCATCCCAATCAGTCGCCCGCCCCTTCGCATGGCATGATCAGAGTCTTGGAGATTCGGTAAGGCAGCAATGCCATGATAGCGAGACGCAATCAGCTTCGTGATGTCAGCCGTCGGACGAGTGCGCATCATGTGCCAAGCGGTGTGGCATCGTACACCAACCCGTGAATATGTTATGCATCTCGCTATCTCTCCTTGTCTTCTATTTTCAGTTTTAAGCTGCTAGTATTGAGTAGATTTGCAAGGCTTGTATATGATACGGATCGTCATCCCTTTTAGGGTTCCACCATATATATACCTCTTGTAAGCCGCCATGCGGCGTTGTAATCTCACCCCGATATAGTGAAGATATTTTGATGGCTGGCGCTCATGGTTTTTTCTCTCCTACTTTAGGAGAGTTTTCTACGTTAAATCTCGTGTCTTCTATGATTGATCTTTTGTTCTTTATCGTTTGTTTGCCTATCGTTTCCTAACAATTCCTCACGTTTTGCAACGAAAATTACTAAGCAATCTTCAATATAGTCATTATTTTATAAACTATATGGTATTTCTATATTTTATTTTAATGTACTTCTATAATAACCGTAAACGGTGGCGGAGGCAGCGTGGGGGCTGGGGGGTCTTTAGACCCCCTACCCCTAATGAATCATTAGAACCTCATTAAGACCCTCATAAAATTTAAATCCATATATCTATTACAAGAGAGATAAAATAAACTTTGTCTGAGATTGTTATAAGGTCCAAAAGGCTGAGAAGCCCCACTATAATTTTATCCTGGCTCTGCCATTGACAATAAAAATTTCTTTATTTTACTCCATCCGTTTCGAAATGTTTGACACCGTTGACTCTTTAGCATATGTTTGACCGTTCGTCTTATTCAAAAACTTTTGTAAAATATGTAAAATTATATGTCTACATAAAAATATATTTAACAATGAATCAAATGATAGAAAAAAATTAATAATTACTTAAATTTTTTTTGAATAAGATGAACGGTCAAACATATTTAAAAAAGTCAACGGCGTTAAACATTTCGAAACGAAGGGAGTATATAGTTACATAAATACCATATCCCTTGGCTCCTTGGAAGTATAGTTGGCCATATGGGCCGCCCGGCACGGCACGGCCCAGGCACGACCGGGCCTGGGCCGAGGTCAGTCGGGCCGGCACGGCCCGACGAACAAGCCGTGCCGTGCCGTGCCAGCCCACGGGCTACAACCACGGCCCAGGCACGGCCCAAGTAGCCTCGGGCCGTGCCGGGCTAGCCCGACGGCCCGGCTAGCCCATCGTGCCCGTGCCGGCCCAGGCACGCCCTGGCAAAATACCCCTTCAAAGGTTCAATTGAATACAACAAATTGACATAACACATCAAATTCATGAAATTCACATGTAATTCATCAAATAAGTCAAAGAATCACAAACAATTCATCAAGTCACCAGTTTATCAAATCATGCATACATCAAGTCACAGATTTACAAGCACAGATTTACAAACAAATGAACAATTCTTCAAGTCACCAATTCATCAAGTCACAGTCTCACAGATTTACAATCAGTTCAAATCAATTCATCAAATGCATACATCAAGTCATCTACTATTTTCCATCAAGTCCATCTCAGAATCACAAACCTCAGAAAGTTAGAATATAAAAGGGGTTTATATAAGCTGTGATTGTGCAATGGCTGCCTCATTAAAAACCTTTCTAGGTAAAAACTCACACCTCGTGAGAAAACCCTAGAAAGGAAAAGAGTACGCCCATAGCTAAAATGTTCATATCAATTACAATCATCCAGTTCAAGGGTTTACATCAATTTCATCATCAAGATACATATTCTCATAAGCATTTTGAAGCTCCACATTCTCAGTAGTATGCTGACTTTTTGCATATGCTAGCTCCCAGTCCTTGATCACTGCCAGAATTTCCACCAGCCTAGGGTTTAGACGCCGCCGACGGTCCTCGATGATCCTGCCAGTTAAGCTAAAAGTAGACTCGGACGATATAGTAGAAACAGGAACAGTCATAACATCTTTAGCTAAGATTGAAAGAACAGGATAAGTTAGTTTGTGCTGTTGCCACCAACTAAGGATATTGAAGTCATCATCATATTGGTTGACAGTGTCACTGTCAAGATATGCAGACAGTTCAGAAGAATTGAGATTAGCAGTTGAAGAAGCTGCCTGAAGCAAAGCAGTAGCAGATGTCATCCTGGATAATGAACCAGCACCAAGCCCAGCACCTGGACTGGCACCAGCATTACCAGCACCTGGACTGGCACCTGCATTACCAGCACCAAGCCCAGCAGCAACAACAGAACCAAAAATCTTCCCCCATGCAGTCCTTTTCTTACCAGTGGAAGGGCCTGGAATAGTGGAACTATGCAATCTAACAGAACCAAACTTTCTTTCATACTTAGCAAAAGTATCAGACAATGAAGCTCTAACAGTTGTTAAATAAGCAGAGTAATCATCACCAATGAGTTGAGCCATAATCTGAAGCACTTTACTAAACCCCCTAATCTTGGCCCTAGGGTCCAAGATAAATGCAAATGAATAAAGAATTGGAATTTTAGACCAGTAGTTCATAAACTTAGTTTTCATGGGACCAACAACATTTGCAATGTTTTGAACATTGCCATATGTGTTTAGATGTCCAGCAATCTCTAAAATGTGATGCATGATTAATGGAGATGTTGGATAATAAACACCAGACAAAACAACAGTTGAATCATAAAATTGTTTAAGGAAACACAAAACAGATTCAGCACATGCCCAATGTAAGTCTGTGAGTAATGGATGGTCATTAACAAAAGGATGTTGTGTACTAATAAATCTGTGAATGGTTCCCTGTGTGGTATGAGATGCTTAAGCATTAGATAAGTTGAATTCCATCTAACATCCATGTCCAAACCAAACATACGAGGACGATAACCCGCAGCAATGCAAACATTTTTATATGTAGCAATGCGCTGATTAGATGCATTCAAGAATGAAATGGCAGCTCTAATGTCATTTAGCATGGGCTTGAACTTGTCAAGTCCAGCCTTAACAATCAAATTGATGATATGACATGCACAGCGTTGATGCAAAAATAAATCACCAATATAACCAGACAGAGCAGGAGTAAGGGTGTCCATAGCTTTAGAATTAGCAGAAGCATTATCTAATGTAATAGAGAAAACCTTATCAGTAATACCATATTCTTCAGCAACAGCAATCACACGCTCAGCAATATTAGCACCAGTATGTGACTCATCAATAAGCCTAAGACCCAAGACCCTCTTTTCTAATTGCCAATCAGAATTAACAAAGTGAGCTACAACACTCAAATAATCTTCCTTAGCATGACCAGACCATGTATCAGATGTCAAAGCAATAGAGCTAGCAGAATTGAGACGATCAATAATAACAGAACGACGATCCTTAAACAACTTATAAAAATCTCTGGTAGTAGTTTGTCTAGAGACAGGAACAAATCTAGGGTTATGAGCAGCCTTAATATAGTTCACAAAAGCAGGAGATTGACCAAAACTGATTGGAAGATCCTCTCTAGCAATCAATCTACACAATTCAAACCTAGCAACTTCAGGACTATATTCCCATGGAATAACAGAACCATCTGCACTAAATCTAAGCATGGACTGAGGCAAAGCATTAGACCCAAGCTTTCTAGGTTTGCATGACTTAATATGCCTAAGCAAATGTCCAGTGCCAGCAGAAGAACGAGCACTCAAAGTTTTATGACAGTAATTGCATTTAGCAAAGACTCGAACCCTATTACCATTGGTCGTTTCATAAAGTTCCTCAAAGTCATCCCATACCTTGGAGGTTTTGGTCTTCTTGTTGGTACAAGTCGCACTAGAGCCAGTCGGCGTCCCATTGCCACCATCGTCGACCGGCGGGTCGTCGTCATCGACATTCACATGGATCGGGATGTCGGAGGTATTGCCGAATACCTCCACACGATCCTCCTCAACATCATCATCGTCATCACCGCGCATCCCCATAGTCCTCAACTTGTAGTTGACAGAGGTAGGATCGTCGTCCATCGCAGGCACTCTGGTCCCTCAACGGCGGCTGCCGCTAAGCAACGGGCTTGCGACCTGCAAGCAGCCAACAACACTCAAGGTTAGGGTCGGAAATGGAGAAAAAAAAAGAAAAACAATGGTTCCATGCTTGTACCTGCGCAGCCGGAGCACCGGAGTTGCCGTTGAAGACGATAGGCTCACGGATCTACGAGAAGACCAAGGGATCTGGCGAAGAAGAACAAAAGGGAAAGAGACGAAGAGGAAGGCTGGATCTGAAAGAGTGGAAGGACGATGACTCAGGCGACCATGCGTAGCCGATGGCCCCCATCCTCATGCGCCCCTCATGCGAGTCAGGCGAGGAATCGATCGGAGACGAAGAGGAAGGCTGGATCTGGAAGAGTGGAAGGGAGGCGACTCGGTGAGTCTCACCGGTGCGTGCCTGAGGCCCTGAGCGAGTGAGCGGCGGACGGTGGAGGAGGAGATCTAGTGGGCGGTGGAGCGTCGGAGGCGGATCGGCGGAGGCGGTTGAGCGGTGGCGGCTAGGGTTAGGGTTAGGCGGAGAGGCGGAGAGGCGGAGAGCGAGAGGCGAGAGGGGACTGGGGAGGGGAGGGGCGGCGCTCGCTGGCTTATATATGCGGGCGCACGCGGCGCGGCCTGGCTGTCTGTTGAGCTGGGCCGTGCTCGTGCCTACCGTTGGTACGGGCCGTGGTCGTGCCGACCGTTGGGCCGTGCCGTGCCGGGCCGGCCCATCGTGCCGACCTCGATCCGTGCCGTGCCGGGCCGGCCCACCGTGCCCAGCCATAGGCCCAGGCACGGCCCAATAGTCGTGCCGGGCCGGCACGGGCCCGACTGCTACCGGGCCGTGCCGTGCTTGGGCCGGGCCAAATTCCTGTGCCGTGGGCCGGGCCATCGGGCCTCGGGCCATATGGCCAACTATACTTGGAAGGGATACCCATGGCCGAAATAGTCCGCCAAGGCAGCGGTTTGGCGCGCGCGGCGGCGACGGGCGCGCGGCCCTTGCCTCCGCCTCCCCCTAACCCCGAATCTAACCACCTCCCGCCACCTTCGCGCGCGAAATCCCCCCCACCACCCCCTTCGCGCCGCCGCCCTCGTCGTCGTCCGACCACCCGATCCCGACGAGAACCCGTCCACGTCCATCTCCGCCGCTGACAGCACCAGCTCTTCGCCGACGCCGCCGCTGAGACACCGTCCCGGCGCGGGCGAGGCGACCCATGGGATCCTCCGGCGGATAGCTCGGCCTCCCTCGGGGCTTTGCCGGGCTAAGCCAGCGCCCGCGGCGTCGTGTCGTCGTCGTCGTCGTCGTCGTCGTCGTCCTCTTGTGATCTTGTTTTCCCGGCGTCGTGACGAGGCCGGAGAGGAAGAGATCGACCGGAGCCAGCGCCTCTGCTCGCCGCGGTTGTTTCGCTAAGCTTCGTCTGGTTCTTGATTCCCTCCCCCACATTCTCGGCCGGAAGAGGGCGGCGGCAGCGGCGGGTGGCCGCCGGGCTGCCATTGTCCGGGAGGCGCTCCTCCCCCGTCGCCATGGGTGCGCGGTGGGGGCCTCGCCGCGCCACCGTCGGGCCCCACCTCCGCGACGCGCTGCGTCACCTGCTCTTCGTCTTCCTCGTGCTGCTCCAGGCGCAGGCGGGGCGCGGCGGCGCCACGCTCAACGGCGAAGGTAACGGCCCCAGAGGAGCAGCTTGCCATGGTGGTGGTAGGCTGGTAGCCGTGTTGCTTGGTCTGACCTCCCATGGCGTCGTGCTTCCTGCGTGCAGGAATGGCGTTGCTCGAGCTGAGGGAGAGGGTGGAGGCTGACCCCCATGGCGCCTTGCGGGATTGGGATCCGGCAGACGCCACGCCCTGCAGATGGTCCGGCGTGCATTGCTTTGACGGTAAAGTTGAGATTTTGTAAGTCTGTTTTTCTCTATGTTTTCCCCCGATACAATGTCTCCTGTGTAAGCCACTAAATTAGTTTTTTGTTCCTGAAGATCCAAATTGAATTGATGTTCGATGCATTTCCATGTGAAAAACGTAGTTAAATGAACTAATTTCGATGATACCAAAATTGGTGGTTTTTATGCAGGAAATGGTTTGTTCTTTGTCATTAGCATGACTGTTCAAAACCGCATTTCTTACTACGATGTTTCTTTATCCTGGCATATTGATGTTCTTAATTGTGCATATGAGTTCTTATCTGTGTGAACATGTAGGAACTTAACAGGCCGAGAATTGGTGGGAACTCTCGCACCTGAGATTGGACGTCTTCAACTTTTGAAATCTCTGTGAGTGCTTAGAACTGTATGGATGATCTGAACTTAGTTTCTTTTCAGCTAGTTCAACGGATTATGCTCTGTGGAATCCACGGGTTGACTGATATTATTCCTACTGGTTATGCTTACCCAGCATTCTTCGAAACAACAATTTCCGTGGGAAAATTCCCAAAGAGTTCGGAGGGTTAACTGCCCTTGAAGTACTGGATTTGAGCAGCAACAACTTGGATGGAACGATTCCAGAAGAATTAATGGCAATGCCACTGCTCAAGCAGCTGTAAGTCTAATTGGGTGCTTCACTCTCTGCTAGTTATTTCGTATAATGAGCAATTATCATCTGTCAGGTCACTTCATGACAATCAGTTCCAAGATGATATCTCTTCTTTGCACATTCAAGATATATCTGATGAGCAGGCAGGATGCTTGAGCAGAAAATTAGGTTGCTGGTATGTGGGCTATTTTGGTGTGTTACCTTTTCAGTTGCTTATAGCCTCCTAATCATTTCCATTTTTTTTTAATTTCTAAAGGTTTTATCTCACCTAACAGATCTTTATTTTACAGGGCGGGGTTTAAGGATTGGACTTCTTTCAGTGATCTCCGAGAGAAATACTCCACCAACCTAGCAAGTAACCGCACATTCAAAAGTTGTATAAATAATCAGCCTTTCTTCCTTTTGTTATGCACAGCATTAAACATTAATTTTACATTGTTTTATGTCTGTCAGGTCTAGGCGAGCCACACATTATGCAAAATTTGCAGTCCTTTGCAAGTGCCGTGGGCCGCAGGCTGCTCGGTGAAGTTGGCAATCTGCCTGCCCTTTCAGGGAATTATGCTAAATCTTCTGGCCCTGTAAATTCAGAAGAGATCCAAAGGGCTATTGATGTTCTCTCTTTAGGGAGTGGTTCATTCTCTGCATTCCCAAATTCAGAGGCCGAAGTTCTGGAATCAGCTGTAAATACTGATGCTGCTGCAATGCAGTCTGGAGCAGCAAATCAATCAACCGATGAAGTGTCTGGTTCAAAGCACAGCAAGTGGGCATATTTTATGATAATTCCAGCTGCAATATTGCTGATTAGCCTGATTGTGGCTCCAATCTTGGTCTGGCGGAAGCGAGGGCGTGCGGCAATAGGACCTTGGAAAACGGGTCTAAGTGGCCCACTTCAGAAAGCATTTGTAACAGGTAAACATTCTTATTATCCTATCTGCTTTTATGGTTTGGGAAGTAGATACATTGCATGCAGAAAAAACAGGAACTACCTGCCAAGTACAAATCTATCATCTATAACAAAATTCGCATAGTTGCATAGCTATTTTGCATTACTCTTATAGCCTGACAAATTTTCAAGGACCTGCTCACCTTTTGTGAACCAATTAATATTTAAGCTGCTCGATATTCATATTTGGAACTGGCCCATGGTCAGTTCAGGAAGTTATTTGGATTTCTTTTTTTTATTATTATATTTCAGAGTCTCTAGGTAATGCAGTTAATCTTCTGTATGTAAATTGTTGCATTCAGGTGTTCCAAAGCTAAACAGACCTGAACTCGAAGCCGCTTGTGAGGATTTCAGTAACATAATCAACACTTTCCCTAGCTGCACCGTGTTCAAAGGGACATTATCTAGCGGAGTTGAGATCAGTGTTGTTTCCACTGCCATTTTGTCGCTCAAAGAGTGGCCTAAGAGTTCAGAGACATGCTTCAGAAAACAGGTCCATGGCTTCCTACATGTTCTAGTTGGAGCAGTAAATCCTTCAATGCTAGATCTTCGCTAATCCCCTGATTTGCTTGTGTAGATAGACACACTATCAAGAGTAAACCACAAGAATTTCATCAACCTCCTAGGTTATTGCCTGGAAAATCAACCCTTCATGAGAATGATGGTGTTCGAGTATGCTCCAAATGGCACTCTCTCTGAGCATCTCCACCGTAAGTTGTTTTATTTTTTCATGACTTCCTCACACATATGGAAACTATTCTGCTCATTGAATGCGCTTGTTTTGCAGTCAAAGAATTTGAGCATCTGGACTGGGCTGCAAGGATGAGGATCATCATGGGTGTGGCATACTGTCTCCAATACATGCACCATGATCTCAATCCACCTGTTGCGATAACCGACATGCGCTCCGACACAATTTTCATGACAGATGATTATGCTGCCAAGGTACAGTTTCAATTAGCTGTAGTGATCTCGGTAACATATGTAGTGTTGCCACTCATTTGAAGCAGCTGAATTGCGCATCTAATTTGTTGCTCAATAACATGTCATTTGGCATTACGACACAAGGTTGAATTGATTAAAATGGATGATTAGCATGACCCTTCCCTTGAGCTAGTGTGATGCTATGTACTCTTCTTGTGCAGATTGCTGATGTTGGTATCTGGAAAGAAGTCGCCATAAAAGCAAAGACTGCAAAGGAGGATAGCAGCAGCCGTTCTGAATGTCCTCCTGATATCGCGAGCAACGTCTACTGCTTTGGCACGCTTCTGATAGAGATCATATCCGGAAAGCTCCCTGAAGCAGACGACCAAAAATCCATGTGCAACTGGGTAAAATCATGCAAACCCAAATAAACTCCAAGAAAACCCCAACTCTTCTCCTCTTTAAGAAGGAAGCTTGATTTCTAGCAAAACACAATTCCAAATTGAATCTCCCTTTGCCACAGGCCGCTGAGTATCTGAAGGGCAAGAGCTACAGCAAGCTCGTCGACGCGTCGCTGAAGGAACACAACGCCAACGAGCTGGAGGCCGTCTGCGAGGTGATTCAGGAGTGCATTGATCCCGACTCAGATCAGAGGCCGACGATGAGAGACGCCACCCGCAAGCTGAGACAAGCTCTCAACATCTCGCCGGAGGCAGCGACGCCGCGGCTCTCGCCTCTCTGGTGGGCTGAGCTCGAGATACTCTCTGCAGAGGCAACCTAGTAGATTGATCAGTGATGTATACTGTTGCTGGTGAACCAATACTCGCGGCAGCATCCCTCTTCACAAGGCTAAAGGAAAAAGCCTGTTTATGTGCAGAATTCATGTTCTTGATCCTATGAAAAAAAATGTCGTGTGACAGATGTGCAACTATTGGGTCTAATGTGCATTGATCTTTACACAAGAATGGAATGTGATTTGTATGAATATTTATAAGTTTGATCAGTGTAAAAATCAAGCAAGTTCGCTGCTGTTATTCCATTAACTTGAAGCTAATCAGCAAGATAAGATAAAATGAAATTGTTGGAGATATGGCTCTTCACAATTGAAATAAAGTAGATCCGATAAAAAAAGACCATAGATACAAGAACAACATAATTTATAGGGACATCTGTGTAATGTGCATAAATAGTGTGTATTATATAATTTAGCACTACCTGGATCAGGAAGTGGCATGAAAAGTGAAAGGTCGCTATGTACTTAATGAAAGTACAGCATTTTCACAGCGGCATGATGCCATAGTTTAGGATTGTTTTGGTTGTGTACCCCAGTGTGTTATATAAGATCATAAGATGTTCTTTTTATTTGATTATGTTCGTGCAATACACCCATAAAGTAGTTTAAATATACTTGATGCATTACGATTGCTTTTATGCCTGATTAATATAGCTACAAATTGATAAATAGATGCTGCCTGTTTTGTACATTAAAAATGCAAACTTAAAGCAAAAGCCAATCTTTTTGGACTTGAAAATTATTAGCTGGTCAATGAGATGCCTAAAAAATTTCACATGGGATATAGTCGAATTAAATTTGAAAATATACTGTTCATTTAATTTTTTTCTCAGGAATATTCGTGATGCAAAAACTTGTGCAGAAATATACCATCGGTGTCGCATTTCCGTTGCACGAAAATGACGTGGGGATCACGTCACGGGAGGTATCGTGCAGCGAAAGCGTGAGACCGTGCGGTCTCGCGGAATGGAAGAGCGAGACCGTTCGGTCTCGTAGAAGCAATCAGCGACATTGTCTAATGGGATCCATTTAATTAGTGATTAATTACTTAATTAACAATTAACTAATAATAATTGGTGATTAATTATTTTGATTATTAATTAATCGCTAATCATAATAATTAACCGCTAATTAAAACGGCAAGGCATGGTGTCGCTCTTTGCTTGAGCGATAGCGTTGATTACTTGAGCGGTATCGCTGTTTGCTTGAGCGAGACCGCGCGGTCTCGCACCGGAACCGCGCGAGACCGTGCGGTCTCGCAATTTTACTGCGTGATACTGGTCGCGACGTCATTTCCACGCCATTTTCGCACAATGATTGTGCAAGACTGATGGTATTTTTGTGTAAAAGATTTTGCATCCTGAATATTTCTAAGAAAAAATTTAATGAATAGTATATTTGCAAAGTTAATTCGGATATAGTCGTCCATGTCTGTATATCTATTCAATATATCATAGGGCATACAAGATACTACAAACTGTCTCCTAAAGAAGGCAAAAGCACTTGACACCAATATTTGAAGTTTTTAAATTTCTGAATAACCAGCATACACTAGTATTTGCATGCTGCTCACGACTGTTTCACCAATACCAATAATGCTAATCCAGTGTCTGGCAAATTCCCTAACCAATGCATGGCTCCGGCTTTCTTACCTGTCTTTGTTGCTCATGGAAATCAGGTACAATTATTCAGAAAGCTACGTGGTTCCATCACAAAATTCATGTTAATTTTGAGAAATTTCAGATTTTTGGATGTCTGAGTTCAGGTACAACTTGTGACAGATCATATAAACCGCATGTTTGCCACATGGAACGACCCTGACGTATAACTGTAACAGATTAATGATTTAGTTTTGTGATAGTTTGATCAAATATCTGTAGTTTTGTGAAATTTACTCATAAAAAAAGTAGAGATTTTAGGGGTTTGTAATCATCCCGTACATGATTGATAAAAAGTGTGCATACTGTTTTTTTTTTCTTTAACTATTGAAGAACAAGTAGTTGTTGATTGGGTAATCAAAGAAAAGTTCAGCTACTTGTCCTAGCAAAGATGAAGTAGTAGTAATACTCTCTGGATGGTACAGTTTCAATTATTTGCATGACTTAACTGAATGAAGTTTACTCTGACAGAGATACCTGTTCCAATTCAAATTAATGCAATTTATATCTAACTGTTGCCAAATAAGATTGAACGCCTGTTCTTTTCTTATCCGTCTATCCCACATAATCATGTTAATCATATACCAATAATACATAATCTGCATCTGTCAAATTTAAACCGATCATGCCAAATCGATTTTCTTGATGTGACAGGTGTAATCTGTCAAACTTAACTTAAAAGCCTCCGAAAAGTCACATGCAGATGAGTATCTGGCTCCCTGTAAATTAGTCATGCAAATAGCCTGTGCTCTTGATATAAGTGGATTTAGCATTGCTTGAACTGTGGCCTTTGGCAAGCCAGCAAGCTGTGACATATTCTATGGCTAAAACTTGTTAATTATTTACTTAATTCATCTACCTATTTCTGAAGGTAATGAAGGGTCTCATGTACACGATAATCGTGTTCAGAGAACGCCAGAATGGGACGGATTGGAAGCTAGCTAAATATCTGAAGGTGACTAGTAGAAAGCTGCATTTTCTGAATTCATCTGTGCCAATTTACAGCCAACCAAATGTCCCATTTTCGCTCACCGCGTGTATCCTGCGAGAACCTTGACGTTTGTGGCAAACTGGCAACCTAACCGTGAGGCCTGCCTTGGCTCGTACACCCTGACGAGTTCTTCTCACAAAAAATGAAAAAAAAAGTTTCGAATTCAGCACAGTGCATGATTGGTTTCAAATATGTACTCCCCCGTCCACGTTACAAGATGTCTTGGCATCTCTATCTTTCGTGTTAGATTCATTAACATCTATATGAATTTAGATACATATGTAAAGTATATACGTAGATCCATATATAAATCTATTCAAAATCCAAAACATATTATAATATGAAACAAATGAAATATAAATCTATTCAAAATCCAAAATATATTATAATATGAAACAGATAAAGTAACTTTGATAGACACAATATAATACAAATACACTGACAAAACTGAGTGAGCAAGGTTTGGTATTAGTCATGTGCACATAACACTAGAGTTAGGTTAAGGTCTTTAATGACAGCCAAACTCTGCAGAACTTTTTTTTTTGTTTCAAGAGGATGAAGAAACATATCTTGACACATGCAGCTCTTAAAAGAAAATCTAAAAGTAACATGCAGGGTGATGCCATGTTATTAGGTTTGCCACATGCAGCTGAATGATACGGTGCCTGCAGCTGCACCCAGAACACGCTATCAATTGCCACAAGTAGATCGTAGAGATAACGCCTCATCCATTTCATATCTGAAAGAAACCAATGATAGATGCAATTCAATCACCGTTCACATAATTCATTTTGCAGATCCCCATCATGAAAGACACATGTATTAACTACATAGAGGATGTAAAGGTGTAACATGGATGAATTTAGAGCGCACCACTGATCCTACAAATAGCATGCAAAACTACAGCCGCTCAACACAAACACCTGGCCTATTTTTAGGCATCCTCTTCCATCTCCAGAGAAGTGAGCCCCAGCCTCATGTCACAAGGGAAGCACTAGCCACCATAGAACTCTCTCTCTTTTTCTCCTTCCTCCTAGGAGGATCCCAAATACACCAATCGTGTCTTGGATTTTCCCAAACACAGCGCGCACTCTCGCCCTTCACCTCTCCTCCCTCTCACCCTTCCATTACATGGATCAGGGAGGGAGGAAGGAGGCCTGAAGTGGCGCAGAGTAGGCGCTTGTAAACAAATCCCCCCATTTGCTTCTTTTGCACTGAAGAATCCCTGAAGAATCCAGCAGGATGGAGAAGAAGGCGTCCATCCTCATGAACCGGTATGAGCTCGGCCGCATGCTCGGGCAAGGCACCTTCGCCAAGGTGTACCATGCACGGAACCTTGCATCCAACCAGAGCGTCGCCATCAAGGTCATTGACAAGGAAAAGGTATTGCGTGTCGGCATGATTGACCAGATCAAGCGAGAGATCTCCATCATGCGCCTCGTTCGCCACCCCAACATCGTCCAGCTGCACGAGGTCATGGCCAGCAAGAGCAAGATATACTTTGCAATGGAGTATGTCCGGGGTGGTGAGCTCTTCAGCAGGGTAGCCAGGGGGCGACTCAAGGAGGATGCTGCGAGGAAGTACTTCCAGCAGTTGATAGGGGCTGTGGACTTCTGTCACAGCCGCGGTGTCTACCACCGAGACCTCAAGCCAGAGAACCTCCTCGTCGACGAGAATGGCAACCTCAAAGTGTCGGACTTTGGGCTGAGCGCCTTCAAGGAGTGTCAGAAGCAGGACGGGCTGCTCCACACGACGTGTGGCACACCTGCATATGTTGCACCAGAGATAATCAATAAGAGGGGCTATGATGGAGCAAAAGCAGACATATGGTCTTGCGGTGTCATACTCTTTGTTCTGCTTGCTGGCTACCTCCCATTCCATGACTCAAATCTAATGGAGATGTACCGGAAGATAAGCAAAGGTGATGTCAAGTTCCCACAGTGGTTCACTACTGATGTCCGAAGGCTTCTGTCCAGGCTGCTTGATCCAAATCCAAACATTAGGATCACCGTTGAGAAGCTAGTTGAGCATCCATGGTTCAAGAAGGGGTACAAACCAGCAGTGATGCTATCACAGCCAAATGAATCAAACAACCTCAAGGATGTCCATACTGCTTTCAGTGCTGATCACAAGGACAATGAAGGCAAGGCAAAAGAACCAGCAAGCTCTTTGAAGCCAGTGAGCTTGAATGCATTTGACATCATCTCCCTCTCCAAAGGATTTGATCTGTCAGGCCTGTTTGAGAACGACAAAGAGCAGAAGGCAGACTCACGGTTCATGACACAAAAACCAGCATCAGCAATAGTGTCAAAGCTAGAGCAGATTGCTGAGACAGAGAGCTTCAAGGTGAAGAAGCAGGATGGACTGGTGAAGCTCCAGGGATCCAAAGAAGGGAGGAAAGGGCAGCTCGCGATCGATGCAGAGATCTTTGAAGTGACACCATCCTTCTTTGTTGTTGAGGTGAAGAAGTCTGCAGGGGACACGTTGGAGTACGAAAAATTCTGCAACAAGGGCCTAAGACCTTCTCTCAGGGACATCTGCTGGGATGGTCAGTCAGAGCATCCATCACTGGCACAGTCATCAACTCTGACTCAGTCCTCTAAGTCAATCTCGAGACATGCCATTTAAGTGCAACCTCATAAGAGATGCAGTAACAATCCATTTTCCTCTCTCCTTTTCCCTTTCATCAAAGTGCTGAGCCTGAGAGTATTCTCACTTGAGCATCAGGCTTAGGGCTCTTTGATGATAATTTTTGCCAGTTTTCCTTGTATAGTAGCAGTTTGTCTACATGGATCTCCTGTTCTTTCACCAATAGAAACAGGGAGATTGACAACAGCATTCTTTTAGTTTTTATTTGTTGCTTTGGGACAAACATACCATCACCTGCAGAAAACAGCATTTAGGAAATTGAAACTTAATAGGGTAAAGAAATCCATTAATGACAGTAAAGAAATCTGTTAATGACAAGAATGAAATGGTAACTGACATGGGAAAATTGTCAGAGAGGACAAAATGAAGGATAAGTAAGACCCACCAAAGCATTCCAGGATGTCATCTTGTGAGTTGAGCACTTCCTAGTCGTTTTGATGTTCAAAATGGAATACTGACATATGAAAGAAAGAAAGAAAAAATATTGATGTGTAGAAAAGAATATTCCGAGGATGCTGGACTAATTATCTGGCTTTAACAATTACATGTTACTTCAGAATTCAGTAGAACCAAGATTAAACAAGAAAAGGATATAAAATGGTGCAATTTACCAAGTTGTTCACCTAAAATAAACAAAACCACTTAAGCTGACAAGATTATTTCCATTATCCTCTGAAATTCACCATAACTGCTGAAAGAATATACTAAAGCAAGGATCTGAAAGTTTCTTCCATCATGTGATTGATGCATAGTTAGATAAATTATGGAACCCTTACATATCAAGAACTCCCAGTTGCCTGAAAATTCAAGCCCTGTCATCATGGAATATGGTAATGATGAGCAAAGGGCAGACAAAAGGATATCCTACTTAGCAAATCTCTTCATACATATACAGATTATTAGGAGTAAACTCTTCAAATGCAGAATCCTTCTTTGAGACACCAAGTTACACCTTACCCATATAAGTGGCCCTGAGCTGAATGAAACCTAAGTATCTAACTAACTATCAGCCAACATGGATATACAAAAGGCCTAACTGCAAGAGCACTATAAATCAATTTTTATCAGTCAATATCAATGGTTTGATAAATTATCCTCCACATTGAAATAGCAGAACAGTGAATCAGAACACTGAAGAAAACAGCACTGGCATTTTTTTTTGTACCATTAAAAGCTAAAAAACAATGGAACAATGAACACAATTCATGACTCCGTAGGAAAGAGAAGTGCTAATATTATCATACCACAGTCGAGTTGGCAAAATCAACCTCAAAGCATTTGCGGTATCAAATCACATGGCAAAAGAAAATGTTATTCCCGACGAATTATGTTATCATAGATTCATGACACGTTACAAACAGCAGAGCTATCGTCTTCCCCCTATAGGAGTGTCCAGCATCACCCCAAAATCCCTAACCAGCGAAGACGGGGCCTCCTCAGGGCTTCGCGGCGGTCGCCGGAGCGGGGTCGGCCGCTACCAACGCCGCCGCCGCTTCGGCGGCCGCGGCGGAGGCCTCCTGCTTGCGCTCGTAGTCGCGGTACGTGTTGATGGCCTTGGTGCAGATCACTGGAGACGACGAAGAGACGCGGGCAGCAACCACCAAATGGTCAGAGCGTCTGATTAGCGCGCGCGAATGTACGCGGGGAGAGGGAAGGACGGCGTACCTCCGGCGCCGACGAAGCAGAGGAAGCGGAGGAGCTTGGAGGAGGCCTCGCCGGCGGGGGCGGCCATGGTGGTCGGCGGCTCGCCGGAGTAGATGGATTCGGCCGAGGGGAATCTCAAACTGGGCTTCGTCTCTCGGCTCCTGTGGAAGTGGAAGTAACCATCCGACTATGGGCCATGTGGGCTTCAGGCCCATTAGTACATACTACTAAGGAGACACGTGTTAAATTGGAATAAGTTCACTCTAGGTCCCTAAATTTGTCGCCTAGTCTGATTTTCATCCTCAGTCCAGAAAACCGAATACAACACATCCCTCAACTTACAAAACCGTGCACAAGAGGTCCCACGACAGTATTGTGGCCGGTTTTGGATGACGTGGCACATACGTGGCATTGACCGTGGTGCTTATGTGTCAATTGGATCCAAAAAAAATAATAAAAACCGTGGGACCCACATGTCAGCTACACACAAAAATAAAAAAGCGGGGCCCATGTGGTCCCACATGTCATCCCTCTACCCCACTCTCTCTCTCTCTCCCCTACACTGCAAAAGGGCAAGCGACGGTGGGGCGGCGCAGAGTGGTGGGCAGAGCGATGGCGGGCGCCAAGCGCCGGGCGGAGCAGAGGGGCGACGGGTGGAAACGGAGCGTCGGCGGGGCGGCGGGCGGAGGGACGGCGGGCGTAGGGCGCCGGGGGAGCAGAGGAGCGTTGGGTGGAAGACGAGCGTCGGCGGGGAGGTGGGCAGAGCGACGGCGGGCGCCGGGCGCTAGGGGAGCAGAGGGCGGCAGGTGGAAGCGAAGCGTCGGCGGGGCGGTGGGCGGAGCAACGGCGGGCGCGGGCGCCGGGGGAGCAGAGGGGCGGCGGGTGGAAGCGGAGCATCGGCGGGGCGAGGGGAGCGACGGCGGGGGCTCTTTATCCCGGCAAGGGGTTGTCGCCGTTGCCGCCGCCGCTTGGCGCGCGTTGGTCAAGGCGGCGGCCATGGACGCGAGCAGTAGGTGGTGCAATCAGGCGCTGACGTCGGCGACGGGTTTTCCCCAAATCCACCTCCGTCTTCCGCCATTGACGAGCTCGAGCAGCGATTCACCGCCGCATTTTCTTTTCCCTCCTTTCGGTGCACGGGCGAGGAGTTGTGGTGGTGGCCGGAACGAGAGGAGCGGCACACGGCGGTGAAAGAGAGGAGTGGCGGCCGGCGGGCGAGAGGAGCACCGCGCGGCCGGCTTCCCTGCCGCCTCCTCCCCACCTCACCAAGGTTGCCGTCCGCAGTCGATTGAGGAATGTGCCGCCGCCGCACCACCGGGCGGCGCCACCGCCTTCACCATCTCCAAGTCCAGCCGGAGGCCGGTTGGGATGCGCGACGACGCCATCAACACACCACCAAGATGACCGGGACCGGTGGCGGCGAGGGTGGGGTGTCACGCCCAGAAATTCCCGAATAGAATTCTAAGCAGAATGTGTATTAAAATCCCCGTCCAGGACCGGCCGGGGTACACAAACGACAATGTTGACATTCAGATCCACGTCTTACAAACATCATAAAAGTCTTACATAAATGCAGCGGAAAAACGAAAGATAACAGGAGCTAAGCCTTGACTTGATCTGCAGCGGGAACACCACTCCACAGGCATCCTCGACGGCACGAACGAAGCCTACACCTCGGAGAAACCACCATCCGACACATACTCATACTCTGGGGTTGGGGAAAAATAGAGCAAGACTGAGTACTACCCACTGTACTCAGCAAGTCATACCGGAATAGGGGTATGATGCAGGAAAATATCAAAGGAGAGCTAGAGTGGTTCATTTGCATAAAGCGAGCATTTATAAACAGAATTTGAAAGAATTAAACAGTTGTAATAATTAATCAATATTAATCATCCGCTGTCCAACGCTATCCCACGTTGCAACAGGACCCAACCATCCACCTATACTATCCAATTTCATTAGACTAAACTAGGGTGAGTCTAATCACGGTGAATCTGGTTGACCGCCTATAACCGCGGGCACGGCTATTCAAATAGTTTTACTCTGATCAGAGGTGTACAACTGTACCCACAAGACACAGCCCCACGACACGTTACCGTGCGCCGACATGTCACCACGACATACCGGAAAGAGGCCGTGACAGGACCCTTCGCATAACCCCCTCTAACCAAGCACACCACACCTCAGGTTTCACCCCCACTCCTCGCAAGGCAGCGGGCAGTCCTCTCTCGTGCCTAGGTGAATCCGAAAACGACAGAGGCCGTCGCAGGGCCCGCCCCGCTCCATCACGCTCACCCTTGCCTGGATGCGTCAGCTAGAGGAAAGCTACACTACAAGCCCAGCCGTTGCCCACGCTGGCTTGTGGTAAGTACGATAAGTTCTTCCAGGGCTTCCCGCGAACCGGTCCTTAACTGCCATGGGTGCGACCAGCAAAACCATGCACGCACAGCCCACCATGTGATTCATTTTAATTAACCAACACCAAAGCGGTGGTACTAAACCAACATTATCATATGAACCTACAGTCTATATTTTAAATGAGATTTCCCCATTGTGTGCTAGTTGAACTAAGCATGGCTAAGTAACTCCTAGTCCAACGTCTATTCATGTTATAACCCGAGCTAACAAAAGAGCAGGGTACCAAAATAGCATGGCTGTAACAATAGGTAAACATCCCATAGTAACATTATAAAACGATGCAGTATTTGAAGAAAAACAATAGAGCATTTGCAATATAGGATCAACATGTTCAAGTGACAGGCATGACTTGCCTTGCTCTGCAGCTGGAGGAACCTCGGCGACTATCTCGAAGTACACCGGAGCGTCGGAAGAACCGGAATCTAGGCGACATATAAAGCAAACAATACAAACAGGCTATAAGACTACTGAAACAGAGAACAAAACCATTTTTAATGGATTCTACGCATTTTTCTTGATTTACTGAGACTTGAATGGGCTTAAACGGAGCACGGATGAATTAGTTATGAATTTTAGAAGATTCACTGTGTTTATTACTATAACAAAAAGTCCTTAAATAATTTATTGCGCAATAATTCCCAGGGCTGACGTCATCAAGGGGGGGCGCGGTGCCGACATGCGGGGCCCACCGGTCAGCCGCTCGGGAGAGAGGGAAAAGGGGCGCCGGCACGTGGGTGCCACTCGGCAGCGGCTCAAGGAGGGGCGGTCCACCGTGGACCGGGACCACGTGGGTGGTCCACCGCCGGTCCACGGGACCGACGGCCCAGATCGCCCCCGGGGCTGATCGGACGGGCGGCGGCGACCCGGCTCGGCTCGGCTCAAGGCCGGCCGACCGGCCACGGCGATGGCGACGGCGCGCGCGCACGCGTTGCCGACGACGGCAACCGGCGGAGGAGGCGGCGGCGCAAAGGCGACGTGAAGGCGGCGGCGCTAAGCGGCGGTTAGGAAGGAGAGGGAGGGGAGTAGAGGGGAGAGGACGCCTCACCGAGGGTGGCCGGCGTGGAGGAAGACGACGGCGAACGGCGACGGCAAGCCATGGGAGGATGACGGCAACCGGCGGACGGGCTTTGGGGTGCCCTAAGGAAGGAGGAGAGAGAGAGGGAGATGAACCATGGCGGCCGGCATCCATGGCCGAAGGCGGCGGTAGAGGTAGAACTCACCGGAGCGCAAGGGGATGCGAATTCCGGCGACGAATCCCGACGGAGGAAGGGCGGACGGGGTGGAGTTCGTCCTTGCGAACCCGACGGCGGCGACGGCGCGGTGCGGCGGCGAGCCTAGCGGCGGCTAGCAGCGGCCGGAGCGGCGGGAAAGGCGCGGCGGGTGGGTGCACGGCGCGGGAGCGATGGGGAGCTCGGGAGAGTTCGGCGAAATGGGGAAAAAGAGAGAGGGGGCGACGGCGGAGCTTAAATAGGGGAGGGTAGTCTTGGACGTGGCCGGTAGGGGCGAGATTCCGCCGGCCAACGTGGGGGAGTGGGAGAGGAGAGAGAGAGGCGGGATTCGAAAATCGAATCCCGGCCATCTCGGGCGTGGGCGCGGGCGGGAGAGATAGGGGAGTGGGCGAGGGAGGTGCGGCGCATGCGCGGGCGTGACCGACGTGGCCCGGAGGAGGCGGAGGCGTGGACGCGGCGGCGGTTGCGGGCGCGGCGGCGCGGGCGCGAGGTAGGAGACGGGCCCGACAGGTGGGGCCCACCTGTCGGCGTCCCGGGTGGGAGGAGGGAGGCGGCCGGCCTAGCTGGGCCTCGGCCTTCGGCCGGCCCAGCGGAGGGGAGAGGAGGAAGGAGAATGGGCCGGCGGCCCACTCGAAAAGAAAAGGGGGAAAAAGAAAAAGAAAAAGGAAGAAAAGGATTTTCCCTGGAATTAAAATATTGCTTGCTCAATTTTAATTGGTTAAAATTATTTCTAGGGCTCTGAAAATTCCACTAAAAATCTTGTTAGCGTATTTCGGCATGTAAAACTCAAGAAAAATTCCACATGCCAGATTCGATTATTATTTGTATTACTTTCTTAGGGTTTTCTTTTGATTTGCACCGGCATTTTCTTAGGGTCATTTATAAATTAAATTTTAGGCTTGGGAGGAGAACTTCAGGGTGTGACATGGGGGAGGAGGGGAGAGGAAGGCGGTGGCTTGGAGGTGGAGTGCGGCGGTGGCGCGTGAGGTGGCCGAGGGCGCCACCTCGCCGAGGTCGGGAAGAGGAAAGTAGAGAGGGAGAGAGAAGAAGAGATGAGTGAGGATGAGGAAGAAGAGAGGTGAGACTGACATGTGGGGCGCCACGTGGGCCCTACCATTTTTAAATTATTTTTTTGTGTAGCTGACATGTGGGCCTACGGTTTTTATTATTTTTCCTACATATAATTGCCACGTATGCGCCATGTCAATGCCACGTGGGACTGAGACCTAGTCAAACCAGCCACGTAGGCACCACGTCAGCCAAAACCGCTATCCAAACTGCCTTAGGACCTTATGTGTCTTGTTTTCGTAAGTTTGGGGACGGGTTGTACCCGGTTTTGTGGTTCAGGGATGAAAATCGAACTGAGCGACAAATAGAGGGACGTAAAGTGAACTTATTCCTGTTAAATTTGGGTATTGGGCTTCCTAATGCATAGAGTAGTACATTGCTACATGGGCCTGAAAAGATATTACTCCCTCCTTTTTTTTTACTTGCATGGCATTGTTGGCTTTTTGGTGATAATGTTTGATTATTTATTTTGTTCACAAAATTAGTATAAATATATAAAATATAATTTAAAGTAAAAATTAAATGATACTTATGTAATTTTTGAATAAGATAAATAAGGAAATGCCATGTTCGAAAGTTAACAACTTCGTACATTTAAAAGTTGCACATTTAAAAAAGAGATAACATTATTATTACAAAATAGAGAAATTCATTGGTTTCATTATATTTAAAAACTTAATTTGATTTATTATAATTATTTATATAACTATCTTCTAAAGTAGTTTCAAAATTTGACGATGTCTCCTTAAAATTATAGGAATTTACATATAAATTTCTTCAATTCCCCAAAAATTTTCCACAAAATTCCTCTATTCCTTCGATGCCTAAGTATAGCAATGTAAAATTGCAAGCTCACCCTTCAAATTCTTGAAGTAGAATCAACTCGAGCGGCCTTCTCAGCGCAAAGTCCCGATGTGTGCGCAGTTTTCCTCTCTCTCTCTCTCTCTCTCTCTCTCTCTCTCTCTCTCTCTCTCTCTCTCTCTCTCTCTCTTTCTTTTTTGTAATATAAAAAACGCAGGCACCAACCTAACCTCATCTACTTCATCCAGTTCCAGAAGTTGCTACTACGAGTAGTAACCAAGTGACCAATCCATGAAAAATCAGAAAATGAACCCATTTAAAAATGCAACCCTGCTGGCGAGCCACTAGCCAAGAAACAAGGGCAGATCAAGCGTACTTGTTGGACAATACACCACTCCAGTGGGCAGTGGCAGCTCAAAGTCCGAACTGTATCTTAATTTTTCCGTTAAAATATTTGAATCCCCGACGTAATTCGCCATATAATAGTGATTGGCCACGTTAAATGTTAACATCTGTCCTGTTTTTCTCGACAAATTACGTAACGGATTTCTCTTCTTCCGTGACAGTACGTACGTGTGCAGACGCAACAGGAGTTTAGCGGAGAATCAGGTAAACAAAGCCAAAATATGGGAGATTTTGGTGACCAGAAATGTCAAATTTGAGCCAACGTGTAACGGACAAACATAAAGACAGTGATCTTCTGGCTGCTTCGTCAAGATTGTTTAATCAATGGACAGTTTGATAAACTGAAAAATTAATTCTTGGTCCATATGCTTTGGCCTTGATGTGAAGCTAAAAAAATATTGAAACTTTGCAATTAAGTTTTTTCTTTAACATCGTTTTGATAGCTGTCCCGAAACTGAGAGGTTGTGCACCACCAATATTTTTGGGTTCTCTTCTCTCTCTCTCAAAGAAAAAACATTTTTTTGGGTTCTTTTCTTTTCTAGGTTTTATTGTCTCTGCAGTTGAAGCTGCTGCTGCATCACATTCTGGCATTAATTTCCCAAAATAAACAGCATTATGAATTTATGATTCACTAGTCCTTGTGTAACACTCTGACACTCATAACTATTTCCATTTTTCATATCTGACTCTTTCATAAATCATGCAAACTTGAAAAAAAAAATGTCAATGAATATTGTGTTTTGTCACGAATGAATCGATTGCATTTCCATCTCCAAATACACGGTGAACACATCAACAACAACAAATCTCATGGTTTACAGAGCTATAAATATACATGTGGTCTCCTAACACTCAAATTAAATAATTAATTAGGAGTACTATACTACTCTACACACAGAAACACATTTCTCATTGCAAAATCAATTATTTTGTCGTGTATATATACACGTATATATATACTTCCTCGCATACGTGCGTATATATGTACGTACATAAATTTCTACGTACATATGGACAAGCTAGGAACGTGCAATGCATGCACGCCGTACGTGTCGTGTGCCGGCGACGGTCAAAGGCTCCGGGAGAGCTCGCCGGAGTCCTCCGGGCATGGCCGGTCGTCGCAGACGAGCTCGCGGAGGCTTGGCTTGAGCCGCGCCCGGAAGAACTCCTCGTACTCGGCGGCGCCGCCGGCCTTCCGCCGCACCTCCACCACCACCAGCTCCGGCGTGAGCTCGTAGATCTCCGCGGCCACCGCCAGCGCGCCGTGCTCGCCCTCGCGTGTCCCCTCCATGCTGATCGACCCGTCCTCCCTCTCCCGCACCGCCATGCCCGCCGCCGCCGCGGCCGCCTCCAGCGTCGCCACGATCACCTCCACCGGCGCCGCCGACACGAACCTCGCCGTGTGTTTCTGCTGCTCCGGGATGCTGCCGGCGCCGGCGCCGCCGCCGTCGTCCTGATCGAACAGTCCTGAGAGGTCGAACCCCGGGGAGAAGGAGATGATGTCGAACGCGTTCAGGCTCGACCGCCGCCGCGAGCTCCCTCCCAGCCCGAATCTCCCTTCCAGCAACGACGGCGCCGAGTCGCACGACGTCAGGCTCCCGGCTTTTCTTGGTCGCGTCGGAGCAGCGCCGACGTCGCCGCTGTCCACTGTCCGCGGCGTGTCCGGCGGCGAGGTGGGCGCGTCGACGGCGGCGTCGTCGTCAAGTTCGAAGCAGGTGAAGGTGCGGTCGTCCTCGACGCGGAAGGAGAAGCGGCGGAAGCCGATCTTGAACCACTCGTTCTCCATGATCCCCTCGGCGGTGGCGCGGCGCTGCGGGTTGGTGACGAGGACGCCGCGGAGGAGGCGGATGAGCTCCGGCGAGAACCACTTGGGGCAGCGGAAGTCGCCCTTGTGGATCTTGCGGTACATGCCGGCGAGGTTGCGGTCCTGGAAGGGGAGGTAGCCGGCCATGAGGACGAAGAGCACGACGCCGCAGGACCAGAGGTCGGCCCCGGCGGCGTCGTACCCGCGGCGCGACAGCACCTCCGGCGCGACGTACGCCGGCGTGCCGCAGAACGTGTGGAACAGCCCGTCGCGCCGCATCCCGTCCGCCACCGCGGAGAGCCCGAAGTCGGACACCTTGAGGTCGCCGGCGTCGTCGACGAGGAGGTTCTCCGGCTTGATGTCGCGGTGGAACACCCCGCGCGCGTGGCAGAACGCGACGGCGGACACCAGCTGCTGGAAGTAGCGCCGCGCGTCGGCCTCGGGCAGCCGCCCCCGCGCCACGCGCGCGAACAGCTCGCCGCCGCGGACGTACTCCATGACGAAGTAGATCCGGAGCTTGGTGGCCATCACCTCGTACAGCTGCACGATGTGCGGGTGGCGGACGCGCCGGAGCACGGCGATCTCCCGCTTGATGTGCGCCGTGAGCCCCGACTTGAAGATCTTCTCCTTCTCCATCACCTTGATCGCCACCTCCTCGCCGGTGGCCACGTTGCGCGCGTGGTACACCTTGGCGAAGTTGCCCTGCCCCAGCAGCTTCCCGACCTCGAATCGCCCCAGCAGCAGCGGCGGCTTCTTCGCCTCCTTGCCGCTGCCTCCCTTGCTGATCCCCATCCGCGCCATTGATGATCCAGCAAGAACGCCACCACCACTAACGAACAAGCTTAACACAAAATAATGGGAGGGAAATGGAGGAAGAGAGAAGATAATGGAGAGGGGCGCATGCTTCTTTATATAGAGTTTTTGAGTGTGTTTTTGGAGAAGATGATGGAGAGTGTGCTAGGCTAGCTGCCAGCTTGCTTAAAAAAAGTTTGACTTTAATTCATTGGTGATATATTTTTTTCATTAATTAATTTTCCTTTAGAAAAAATATTGAGTGTGTTAGACAGCTGCCTAATTTGCACATTGGTGATGTGGTTGTTCTTGGACCGTTCGATGTGGATTGTGGTGATATCCTGGCCGTTGGTTCTGAGTAAGGATATATGCCACTTCATTTGGTTGGTGGACTGGAGGGTTCTTTCTCTTTTTCTTTTCTGATTTTTGTGTGTGTGTGTGTGATGACAATGTTTCTGAATTTGTCTGTGCTGAGTTGGACTGGAAAGTCGGTGCAGTATGACATTTTCAACACTTTACGGGCACGTTGTTGCTATCCTCCACGTAGGAAAATGGTTGGTGGGAACCACTTACTGGCATGTTTGCTAGATGCCACCTGTATGTACTGGTACTATTTAAACTCTTGTAATGGCCACAACATTTTTGTTTTTTGAAGCAGAAAATGTACTGAGTTTGAGCAACATAAAAGCAACACAGTCCTGACTACATAGCGAAATATAAACACGCGCCATCGCTCTCTTTCATTGTTCAGGAATAATTCTCTCAATTCAGCATGGAAAAGCATTAAAATTTTCTTCCATTATTTGGTGTGTACATGTGGCACGCGTGCTCATATGTGATTTTAACTCGAGAGAGATCGTCAAATAAAACGTATGTTATATATTATCGAACTTGCGACTGGAGTCCAATAAACAAAAACAGTGCCCTTTTAGTTTCAACAAGGTCACTGATCTCCTGGAACGTACGTAGATGAAGAAATAATTCCAATTGTCAAATTCTCATTTCAACCCTCCAAGAGTCCATGGGGCAATTCTTGTTGAGTGTAAATACAAGTAATTAACCCAATCTCCTTAATTTTTCCAAACACACGACCTTAAGCCTCATAATTTGGACAATCACAGCAACTACTTTTTCGTAGTGTTGCATGCAAGCCACGATGAAATGATCTAAAAGCTTAGAAAAATGATACGGGAATTGTTCTGATTGATGTTATTAATATTGGTTGGCACAACTATACAAAAGAAAACTTCAATATCTGATAAACAATTTTGCAATGCCCGTAATACCTCATGATATATAAGAGGGAAAATGGATAGGGAAGAAAGTGTATGTCCGAGATTTAGTGTTACACGTCAGATCCAACACAGAGATCGGGAAAATATCAAAATATAGCGTAAAAATGAAGAGTGTGACCGACACTACTAATGTCCAAAAACAATTTTCCAATTTCTGGCGTATTAATCTGGGTTCTCCAATCTGAAATTATGTATTCTAGCTTAGCTCTTCGGTCAAATGCAAACTGCATTCTTACACTGAAAATCTCATGATTTTTTTTGATATAATAGCAATCCCATGATTAGTGCTGCATGATTCCATATAAACTTTTTTTTTGGGAGGGAGGAATGCCATTCGGCTAGCTTTATTGATATGATAAAATTGTTACATCATTTACCAGATGATTTAGAATATAGCCAGGGGGTTCATCAACCCAAATACAAGAAAGCATTTTGTATAAACTTTATTAGATGAGCAATATAAGTTTCTAGTAATGGCACACAAACATGAAAGCATTTTGTTTCTCCAAAAAAAAAAAAACTGAAAGCATTTTGCTTTCAGTGGCTTTCCTTTACATTTCCAACACTGAGCCAGGCCCGGCCCGGCCCATAAAGACTCCCTTGGCTTATTGCCTTCTTCCATTCATTGCACTACACGCAGTCCACAGACGCTTCCTTCGTACGCTTCACCGGAGTGGGTGGAGACGAGACGCGAGCAAACCCAAAACCCTCGCGGCGACGCCATGGCCGCCGCGCTCCGCGCCGCCCTCCGCCGCCGCCACGCCGCCTCTTCGCCGGTGGCCCGCCTCCTGCCGTACTCGTCCCCTGGACCCTGCGCCAAGGTATGAGCCATCCCCCCCGCCGCCTCCTCGCGTCGCGTTTCGCGGTGATCACCCGACCAAAACCCCTCCCCAACCCCCCCTAAAAATTTCTTGCTCCCAGGGCGGTGGCGCCGCCTCCACCCTCCACGCCGCCACGCGCGGCGCGCCCGCTCCGTCGATCCAGGCGCCCTCCGTTGTCCGCCGCTACTGCTCCGCCGGGGTAAGCAGCGACCTCGACCTCTTCGCCGTTTCACCTTCCGTAAGCTTGCTCCGCTGCTGCTTGCTTGCTGACCGAAATTGCACTTTTTCGCAGGGAGGATACGCCGCCGTGCGCCCTGCTCGCGGCGCCTCCCCGCTCCAGGTACCCTCTCTGGTACGCCGCTACGGCTCCACCACGGTAAGGTTTCAAGGTGGCCACATTTAGTGCCACTACTCACTGAATTCTGAGGTGTGTTCTACATATTGACTGAATTCTGAAGCCGCTAATTAACCGAGAAATGTTCCGCTTACAGGGAGCCACTGCTACCGCCACCCCTGCCGCTGGCGTCCCTGCCCTTCACCGTGCATCTCCACTTCCCCTCTTTGTGCCCCGCCGCCGCCGTGTGTATTCTTCTGAGGAGTATTCTTCTGATGAGTATTCTTCTGATGGGTATTCTTCTGGTCAGGTAACCACAGATCCATCCAAGCCTGTGCTTTTTGTCTTAGTGTTAGTCCTTGTAGGAAAAGCTGTTTGGGCGTAATTAGCCACCGCTTGTTACATTTGATCCAAAGCCAGTGATTTTATAATATGTGTTGGAAACTAATGCCAATAAACGTGTGGTTTGCATAGAATTTGCAATCACCATGCATGTTGAGTGATAGACCGATGCATGCACTTGGTTAAAAAAAGGAGCAAGCACCAATCTCCACAAACCCAACTAAAATATGCATATTGGAGCTTGTCTGATGCCATTGGCCTTAAGCATGAACCACCAGAGCCCAGAGGCGTCAGTCAGACGACCATGGTTCTACCTGCCATTAATTTGGAACGGATGGCTTATGGAAATGGGATTGTGTGTGGATACAATCGCCTTGCGGTATGTGTTAAAATTGTTGTACTTGGTTTGTATGGTTTCGGTTAGGCCATTTTTGGAAGCCATGAATAATGTTATTAACGAGAAAATTGTCATATTTTACTTCTAAACAAAGGAGACCACTGAAAATCCTCCCCCCACTATTTCAAATTTATCTATGAGTTTCTTGGTCTCTTGAACATCCATCATACATGGCATGCACTCAGATAATCCCTTTCTGCTATTTTGTTGAACACCTGGCAATTAGAAGCAAAGAACAGTCCGGTATAGGCTTGCATTTTCCATGCAAAGAAGGTTTCTATAACATCCAGCTCATACTGAATCAATGATTACCTTTTTCAGTGTTTGGTCCACATTGTTCACTATTTAGGTGTGATAGTGCTGTGCCCATGTGCCATCACAAGTTTTTCTTGTTGCTGCTTATCCTCATAGTATCTGGTGTACTCCCTCCAGTCACAAAAGAAAGTTGTTTTGAACTCTTCAAAATCAATATGATATTACATGTGTTATGAGAAACTAGGATATATCATTTTCATATGTTCAAAACCTATATCGTAAATGATATTTATGGTCAAAGTTAACGTGTGTTGACTCGCACTCTAAAACGATGTTCTTTTGTGATCGGAAGGAGTATATCGTGGCATCATGCAGAGGCTGCTAACCTTCTCTCTTGTCTTCTAACTGCTTCCAGTGGTCCAGGCCATATAGTTACATTTATTAAGTATTTCTAAATCAACACTTAAAAATTGAAAAATTGCTAAAAGTGAGTTGAACTCAGCCGTGCAAGTTGCTACATTCTGTGCATAGCTAATAACCTGCAAAATAACAGCTCCATGTCACCATCAGCTCATTGTCCAACTGCAGCAGGAAGCCCATGGGTGTGGGATCAGCTAACTGTAGGTAAACATAGCTAGCCCTGGTCATTCTTGAAAATCCAAACGTTCCTGAAGCTAGAACTGGAGTGGACCATTCTGCCAACCCTGACTTATGTTTCTTTTGAGAATACCCTGAGTTTGTTTCTGTCAAGCCCCTAGATGCATGCTGTTGAGTGATCCTTATTGCTCTCAATTTCAGACCACATGACGTAGTGTGTTTCTGCAGGAATACAAGTATGTGGAGGATTGCCAAGTGGCTAAGGTTATGGATCATCAACTCAGAAGGATTGAGAAAGTTGAGGCTGGACTAAAGCAGCTCGGGTGGTTCCAAATTATCACGGTTTCATTGCTGGGATTAGTTACATATCAGTGCCATTCAGAGGTTTCCCGTCTCGACAAGGAAGTCGCTGCTCCAAAGAGCGAGAGCACGTAGACTCAAGAGCAAGGTCCCTGCTGATTGTTCCATTGATGATTAAGAAGAAGACGATCTCGCTTGATGCTCATGAAACCTAGTCTTGCCAAGTGTTTTGCACTGTAGTTTCGGCCACTTCATCTACTGATTGATAGCCGTAGTTTCTGATCGTTGTCAGTGTAGTTTGCTGGTGCTGCGCTGCATGTTTCCATTTTGATTCGTAACCTGATTAAACCCTCAATGCCCAAACTTGGTGTTCTGTGTCCCTTTGCTTGATGCGTGGGCGCGTTAACTTTGGTATCCAGCTCTGCTGTACTTTCTTATGCATGATAAACCTGGGATGTTTCTGATGTGAACTGGAAATGGACTATCATGGCATTCATGTAGTGCACTTCGATTCTTCAGTCGACACAAGTTAATGCATGTTCTTTTATGAGGAGCACGCTCCTACATCAAGATGCAATTACTGGAACAGGTACGAATTAAGCTACTATTACTACTACTAGTGGATAGTTGATGAGCAACTCGGTCACAGCAAAGCTTTCATTTCTGCATCAGCCAAATGAGCCGCCAACTAAGCACAGAAAAGGACCGCAATTGGTGAGGACAATTAAAAATAGGGGCCTAAAATCTAGATGCAGAAATGTTTAAGATCTCTACCATTTGCAGAGCTTCCCTCAAAACCGGGATCCAAATGAAAAGGTCATACGTCCCTTCCCTATGGGCCGCTACCAATGGTGGCGATCCAAAATAGGACGGTTTGGGCTTTACTTGGGCCATCGTGGGCTGGTGCACCGAGACGGCGAGACCTCGCCACGCTAACGATGCAAGACTTCTGTCCCCACACGGCCACTCCGTAGTCTCCCGCGAATGCCGGGCTGGCGGGCTCTCGCCGCCGTCGCCGCCGCGTATCAAAGCGACAGGCACCGCCATGTCCTGGGTCCATGGTCGCCGGGTCGCCGGCACCGCACCCCGGCCACGTCCCCGGCGTCACCGTCCAAGGTAAGAAGAGGCGCTTACGGCCGGTAAAACCGCTCCGGCATTTGTTTAACCGAGATAATCTGACGAACAGGGAGCGCCTCATCTAGTCATCTGCATCCGCATGACTTCGTCGATAACATTATGGAGCTCGGCATCGCTTGATGTGCACTAATTAGGCTGCACCTTGCTCCAAATCTCTCATGAGCTGTATTACCCTTCTTGCTACTCCATTATCCCCGAAATATTGACATTTTAACCTTTTCATAAAACGTATTCTATAAATAGACCAGAAGAACTATAACCAACATTAGGCCTCTACCTCAACCTCATGGGCTTTGGCCTTAGTGTTAAGATTAAAAAATTAGCATCATATAGTTTAGCGCAGAGTAATATAATACAAATTAATAAATACTATAAGTTGTTTTCTTATCAAGATGTATCTAGTAGTCTAGTGGTAAGATACTCCCTTATTATAACAGAAGGTGCTAGTTTGAAGCCCATTTCGTGATCATTGTTTTTCTTTTTTGCCACTTCGGACCCCTCCCCTCCCTTTTTTTTTTCTTTGTTGTGCCTTCACCTTTTAAAAATATTTTAGTGGTCGTGATTTGAACCATGTTCTTCATGGTGATACAAACACCATTTACCACTACACTACGCCACTACTAGATATGGCAATGAGCCCCGTTTTCCCTTTTCCTACGAGGAATTCTTTTATTAGGGACGGAAATGGCTATAGTTGATTCTTCATAAGGGAATTATAATGGGAGAAGTCATGCCCCTGTCAGGTTCGTGGGGGCAAGGGTGATCCTCTTTGATAAATGATAATCTTATTTCCCGTTGTATTTTGCGGGCACGGGAAAGTTTTGTCTCACGGGGGTAGGGATAGGGATGCATTTTTCGGTGGGGGCCATCTCTAGTCACTGATCACTATGCAAGTTTTCATGTGTATTTGGATCTATCAACGTTTTATAGTGTATTCCACGAGGTCCGCATCAATGGGTCTCAGGGACGTACCTACGTTGTAGATTATTCAAATTCTAACTAAATTATATCATATTAATTTATATTAGTTAATAATTAGATAATTTACATATATAGAGCCTCGATAATTTTGTTCCAAATTTATCACTGATGAGCTTGGCGTTGAGATGTTGGGCCTTAGTGCTAAGATCTAGTAAGGTAAAGAGCTTTTTTTTTGACGGGATAAAGATATATTTTTGGTTATATTTTTGTCGACATCTAGTTTTCGAACAAGTTTAGTAAAAGAGTCAAAATTGCTGCCATTATCCATCATAGTATGCTCCCATCTCAGCCGCTCTCAATAATGGAGTATGCCCTGCCCCAGAGTCGCAGGTTTTGTTCAGCTTTACTCTGTCAGCATCTCTGGAAAAACTGAAGTGGACAAATGCTACTTCCACCGTTCTAAAAAAAACCTAGTACTAGGATGTGGCACCACGATATAGACATACTCTATGTCCAGATTCATTGTAGTAGTATGTGTCACGTCGTAGTATGAGGTTAATTTTTTTTAGAATAGAGAGAATATACCGCTTTTTTTTTATCCCCGCCGCAGATGCAGGCAATTCCATGGTCCCTCCCTCGTCACAGACCTGGTGTTACAGTTCCACTTCCAACACCATGTTTTCATGTTTACCTTCGCTTCCCCTTGTCCTGAATCCTGATGAGGTTCCGAGACTCTTGAGGATGTCGAGGACCAGAGGATCTACAAGACAAAAGAATACTATATCTATCTAGCCGCCATGCGGTGCGAATGCGATGCTCCATTGTTTCGTGCCATTGTAGATCGTCCTGTGTGTACACCACGCTACTGCAGCCGCAGCACCAGCATGGGCCACATGGTGGGTGCACGGCGGGTTCACGTACGCCTGCCTCTGCTCTGCGTGACCGAGCGCGCGCGCGGCTGCCGTGGCCGCGAGGGCAGCGCGCGCACGACGCAGAGGCTGCCAGCTCGGGCGCCTCTCCCTTCTCCATTCCAAAACGCCGCGGATCAACTGCCCCCGCGCGCACAGGGCGCATGCAGCATATGCCGCGCGCGGCGCGGCGCGATGCCCTGCACACAACCACGCATACACGTCGTCTCCGTCTCGTCCTGACTCCTGCGTTTTGTCATCCCCGTGGACGTGCGTCCGGCGGCGCGTGCGTCTCATCAGCAAACGCCCCGTGCGGAGGATAATACTAATACGCGCCGTCGCGCCGACGCGTGACGCATCGCATTGCCGCGCTCGCGCGTGTACGCGTTCGTGCCATGTTGTATTATGGGCCGCGGTTTTCTCTCGCGAATTCCCCGTGCGCTGGCGCCGCGTTGCATGGAGGGCGGGCATGGTGTGACTGTGGTGTGCGACGCTTTTTTCTGCAGCGCACCAAAGCGATTTTGGCGCCGCCGCGGACTCGAACAGATGGGCGTGGCAACCTGTAGCAAAAGACTTTTCTAGCAGGATGCAAAGGGGAACAACTTCTCAGACACACCTGCCAGCTGGGCATTTTTCTGATCAGGATTCAGCCGTGTAAAGCGAGTGTTATACTTACTTTCTTTCTCATTCCTGTGATGCTTAATCTGCAATGATGGGTGAGCAGAGTGAGATGATGATTAGCCTGTAAAAACCAGAAAGAGAAAAGGTACACAGATCGGGACACAGTGTCACAGGCTCATCACAGCATGTGAGCCCGTCCGTTCCATGTGGGCTGTGGCCCAACCTGTGGCTACTTTGCCGGCTTCGTCGCCGCAGGGGCTTTGCTCAATCATCAGTAGCTATGGATCACAGATTCACAGTGTACTGACTGACGAGTCGCCGATAAACAGCACCGACGAAGTCGGCTAGCGTGAAGTGTCTGCGCGTCAATGCAAATGCCAATGTGTGATGATGAAAGAGCCATGGGTTTTCAGGACTTTTAGCAGACATTCAGTGCTAGATTTTATGTTTATTTTTTATTCAATGATGCATTCATCGCTGGAAACCGGATGCTTTGTTTTGCTTAATGTGCTTAATTAGATCTTTATTATTATCTCAGAAAGAGAGATGATTCCACTGTCACACGGTTTTATAGAGTTGAGAAAGCCAACAAATTGCGTTAATTAATAGTATATCTAAAGCATGGTTCAAGACTTGAAAATGATTGAAAATTCAGAGTTAACTCATGTGACAACTGACAAACTGCTTAGCTCGTTGGAAAAGACAGCGATAATCTGGCAGTCAGCCAATCAAACATTGCCATCCTGGGCTGCCACATCTGCAGTGTTCCACTGGTCCACGGGCCCAGCAGATTCCCTGTTCTGATCGCATCGTCGATCTAGTAATCAGCGGCTGAGATCTGTTCCGGACTAAAACCCCACTCCGCCATGAATCGGTTCATGGCAGAGTTTTGTGTGTGCTGCTCGCTTCGATCGAAATTTGGAGAAAAATCAGTGCAAGAACAGCATTTTTTCCATTTGCTTTTGGTAAAAACAAGATTTGATAATAAGTTTATGGCGTTCACGAAGCGTACATCAAGAATCCATTTCATGTTCATGATGAGTTCACTCGCCGGCAGTTGATCCGTACCTCGCCGTTCTTCCCGGTGAGCGGGCTCAGGTTGCCCAGCCTCACCATCGCGGCGGCGAAGTCCGCCGCGAACGTCGTCGCGTTGGCGGCGTACGCGCGCACGAACGCGTCCGTGGTGCCATTGCCGGCGCCGCTGCCGAAGAGCTCCTGGTCGGAGCGCAGCAGGACGCGGCGGCTGAGGAGGTCCGTGAAGTAGGCGTTGTCGAAGGTGTTGGGCGCCTGCAGCTCGAGCGGCGCGAGGTTGCCGTCGCCGCCGGTGGTCGGGCAGGACTTGGTGCGCAGCTGCGAGGCGAAGGTGGCGTTCACGCCGGTGTCGTTGTAGATGTGCGTGCGGAAGGTGGAGCAGCGCGCCCACCCGACGGTGTGCGCGCCCGACAGCGCGGTGAGGTCCCGCGCGTCGAGGCCCTTGGCGCTGAACATCGACAGGAGCGACGCGAGGCTCGCGCCGGGCGGCGGCAGGTTGGTGTTCGCCGCGCTCTGGCTCGTCGTGCGCGCGTCACGCCGCCCCAGCGGCACCGTCCAGTTCGGGCCCCCGAGCTGCACGCGCCCCGCCATTAATGCCAGCATTACATGGGTGCAGAAAAACACGAGGCAGATACTGACCAGGTTGACGGCGTCGCGCGCGGCGAGCGTGATGATGTCGGCGCAGGAGACGGTGGCCTTGCAGGAGGCCTCGAGCTGCGCCTTGATGGCGTCGATGACCTCGTACCCGCGCACCGAGTTGGCGTTCGGCCCGGCGTTCTTCTCCCCGGTGAAGTTCGCCGTGTCGTCGAGCAAGATGGAGGCGTCGCACCCCTGCACACACGCACGCGGCCATTAAACTCAACAAGGCGAAGTACATTGGCCGAGCAAGAGATCCATTTCGCGTAGTTACGTTGACGAAGCAGTCGTGGAAGAAGAGGCGGAGGATGGAGGCGCCCATGCGCGACTCCTTCTGCACTGCCTGCGCCATGCCGCGGCGCACGATGGACACCACCCCGGGGCACGTCGCGTTGTAGTACCCCGGCGACAGCTGAGCCTCCGCCGCGAGGAACACCACCGCCAAGGCCACAGCGCGCGCCACGAGCATAGCCCTTGACGACGACCACCCCATCGCCAGCAAAAAAGAGCAGAAGAACCGAAAGAAACCAAGGGCCAAAATGCTCCTCTCAGCCTCTCGCGTCACGCACGCACGCACTAGTCCGTCGTCTGCACGTAGTACGCGAGCGCGCGCGCGTATATATGGCCGCCGCACCGAAACACCGAACACGGAAAAGCCGCCCGCCGCTCGCGCGCGCGCGCGAGTTTCCAGCTACTGCTGCACCGTCTGCCGTTCTATTTCTATCTATCTATCTATCTATCTACAAGTCGCGCAAGGAGACAAGCTAGGCAGACCGCGCTTGCTTGTCTCGGTCGCGTCGCGTGCGAGCCCCGAGCCAAACGCCCCAAAGCTACCACCACCACCACCAACCGAGTGGGGGACATGCGCAGATGCGCTGCGTGCGTTGCGCCTCATGTGAACCGTGGCATCTCGTGCCGGCACGGCCCGAGCGCGCACGGCGGTCGAGACCCCCGACACGCCCACACACACATGCAGGACGCAGTGAGCGCACGGACCAATGGCCACCGGAACGCGACGTTGTTGTACGTCGCGTGTGCGTGCACATACGTGCATGGCATGGCAGCGTGGGATGTGGCACCAACCAACAGCGAGCATCGGGGCAGTAGTACGCGGCAAGTTGCAAGCTGGGCCTGCGCATGTCTGGACAAGCGGCCGGCCCCCTTCCAAAGCTCCAGACTAGAACTACTCCGAATAAACTACGCGTGATAATGGCAACAAGCAACAACGTGTACGAGAAGTACTACACCAAAGTAGAGTTTAAACTGTGTGCTGCTAGTAATGAGCAGACCGGCCGGCCGGCCGGCGCTGATGGAGGCAGGCAGAGGTTCTGGATTACTACGACCTTATCAGTGTCCACCTTGGTTTGTGAAGGCTTTAAGTTCACGGCAGATATGGAATGGGGATCGATCGATGCGCCATCATCAAGTCCCTTCCCTTTGCCTTTGATTTTATAGAAGTATAGAAGACGAGCTGCTTGATAATGTACACGCTACTAGCTAGCATGCTTCGTGTCGGCAGAACAGAGCAGTTAAAACGACCATGCATATGAGTAATTGAGTACGTACTTTTTTCCATCCAAAAAAATCAATTCATCTCCCAATTTCTTCTTATTTTGGGATTTGGTGCTTCACTTTCAGCTCTCGCCAGGTTTCGGGGATCGTCTTGTTTGGTGTTGCAGTGTTAGACGAGTGACCAACGCTACTCAACACGTTCGGCGTACCAGATGTTCTTTTATGGCCAGCCCTCATTTGCTTGTGCTGATCTTCTGTAGCACGCGAAGGGTCCTGCTAAATACAAATTCTTCCTCTAGTTTGCATTTCAACGATGTTGTTGCACGCCCGATCTCCCCCAGAAGCGCAGCATTGATAGTCACTCGGTCTGCCCCTTTTACACTCAAGAGCTTTAGATGGCAAACCACATCCTCCTCGATTGTGTGTTCGCTCGACAGGTCTGGCTCCGTGTGTTGTCACCTCTTGGTTGGGCTGCCCTCTCTCCTCCCCGTGGTAGCTGCCTCCAGGATTGGTGGCCATCGTCTAGGGCATGCTTTGCCTGAGCATCTCCGTGCCGGCTTCGATTCTCTGATTCTCCTGGTCTCCTGGCAACAGTGGACTCTAGGGTTTTCGACTCTATATTATCTTCAGTCTTGGAGGTCCTTCAGTCCATCCTCTCAGAGGGTCATCTATAGCCGTTAGCTGGCATTGCTAATTTTGGGGTTTTATGGGGAGAGTAGTGGGCTCTGCCCCCTTCCCGCTGTTTGGAGTCATAATAACCTAGTTTTTTTTTCTTTGGTCTTTTGTTTCCCTCCTTTCTTGGCATAAGTCAGTCTAACTGATTGCGTTGTGTAACAAATACTATTTTCTTCTAATATATTGACATGCAATCCTTTTGCGCGTTCGAAAAAAAATATGCGACATTTTCTATTACAATGAATCTAAATAAATCTCTTCTGGATTTATTATATTAGAAAATGTCAATCTCAAATATATTTATTTTGGAACGGAGGAAGTATGGGTTTATTATGGTCATGATGAGTTCACATTCCCGTTCAAGGTATGAGCGGAACGTAGGTGCGTGCGTGCTATTAATCGGTAATTGATTTGTTTGCAGACAAGTCATCTTCAAAACAGCAACTTTTCTCAGTGCTAAAGTATCCAAATTTTGGGGGGGGGGGGGGGGGGGGGCGGGCGCATAAGATTTGGATTTGTAAAGACTAATTCTTACGAACGACATTTGGTTTGTAGAAATATAAGTACAGGAAAACTAAAGGAAGTTCTTTTTTTATATACAAGTTGATATAAGAAATTTTTCATCCACTCAAACCTATTGGGAATTCCTACGATTAAAAGTGTGCATGCGTTTCTATTCCTCCAAACCGAATAATAAGCCATAACAAACTAGATAGCGTTAAAAACTTCGAACAACTTTAGACGTTTGCTTGCCTCTTGGTTGGAAACTTAGGATTGGTTTAGAAAGAAAAATGAAATTGTATCATACGACAATGCCAGTTTTGTTAAATTTTACTCACTCCATTCAAAAGTCTAAGATGTATTTCTTTATTCACCAAAAAAATAAGGAGAAATTAACTCATCCATCTTTACTCCTCGTGCAACAAAGAAAGAGAATGCATGCAATGAGTAATTAATAATCTGCTTCTAAACGAAGAGACATTTTTCTTCATTTACTTTTTTTATGCATGGATAAAACAAATATAATCATTTTATTTGGAAAACCCAAAAACTAAAATACGTTTTAAAACTTTTGGATGAAGAGAGTACAGTATTTGCAACGCGGGATCTAGTTAGACCCTGTTTAGATGGGACTAAAACTTTTAAGTTCCTATCACATCGGATGTTTGAAAATTAATTATAAATATTAAACGTAGACTATTAATAAAACCCATCCATAATCTTGGACTAATTTGCGAGACGAATCTAATGAGCCTAATTAATCCATGATTAGCCTATGTGATGCTACAGTAAACATTCTCTAATTATAGATTAATTAGGCTTAAAAAATTTGTCTCGTGAATTAGCTTTTATTTATATAATTAGTTTTGTAAGTAGTCTATATTTAATACTCTAAATTAGTGTCTAAAGACAGGGACTAAAGTTAAGTCTCTGGAAGTAAACACCACCTTAGCCTTTTTGTGTTAACATTTGCTAGCCGCCTAGCCCAGTAGCAGGTTCACTCCGGCCTATATTTGATATTTCCTTTCTTTTGTGGTGGCTCCTGTTGGTAAAAGTACACCGAAGGTCCCTCAACTTGTCATCGAGTTACAAAATCATCCCCCAACCATAAAATCAGATATCCGACGTCTCTTAACTAATCAAAACCAATCAAAATAGGTCTTTCGGTGGTTTTGACCCTGGTTTTGTCCTACATGGCGGCTGAGTCAACGTGGGACCCATGTGGGTCTCACATGTTGATTAGTTAAGGACCTATTTTGATTAGTTAAGGGACGTCGAATATCTGAGTTCATGGTTGGGGGATGATTTTGTAACAAGTTGAGGGACCTTCAATGTACTTTTTCCGCTCCTGTTCCATATGGACCTGGGCTAGATCCCAAGCTGGACAAAAAAGCCCAAGCCCCTGAGAACATTTGTTGCTTATTGATGTTGATGTATGGCTGCTGGCTGGACTAGCACATCGTTTGCCCATTACTCCTTCATCCAGTTACGTACTATTCGTGCTTTCAGAAATGATAGTCCCTACTACTCCCTCTCACCACTACTGCTCGGAGTAGTTCTGTTAAGTATGATCGCATGGTACTGTTAGGGTGCGATTGGTTCCCGGTCAAGGTTAGATGGGATATGGCGGTCCATATTTTACTGGATATGGCGATTCGGTTTTTTGTATGGTGGAGTAAATATGGCGATCCAGTTTTTTGTTTGGTTGCAGGGATGAAAGTGGATATGGTGATCTAATTTTTTTTTGGTTGGGGGAGTGGGATGAATAAGTGGTTGCAATCATCCTTTCATTAGAGATAGTGAGTATACCCCTCCAAATTCTCCAAACCAAAAAAAATATCAATATACTAAAAAAATCTAAATATAAATAAAAAAAGCATAAAGAAATAAAAGGGGAAGGAGAAAAACAAAAAAAAAGAAAAAATCTTCCTTCTCAAAATCGCCGGCCGTCCCTCGCCTCCTATCTTCCCCGATCGCCCCTCGCCTTCTCTCTCACCGGCAATCCCGCCGCCAAGCCTCCCCCATGGCCACCGCTGAGCCCGTCTCCTCTCTCCCCTGCCGCCGCCATGCCTCCTCTCTCGCCGGCGTGCCACGCCGCCCCAGATCCGGTCGTCGTCGTCCTGGTCGTCGTCGGCGCGTCCTCTTCCCGCCTCCTCTCTCACCGGTCACCGCCGCGCCTCCTCTGCCGCCGCCGCCGAGCTCGCGTCCCACTGCCGCCGTGCTCGTCGCCCGCGCCGGCCGCCGAGCTTGCCTCCTCTCTCGTCGCGTGGCTTGGTCGCCACCGAGCTCGTGTCGCCGCTCGCCGTAGCCGCCGCCGAGCTCGTGTCGTGGTGAGAGGGGTGACGCGACCCACTCGTCGCTCGCCCCCGCTCGCTCGAGCGCTCGGGCAGCTGCATTCGGCCGAATCGACCGGATCCCTCCATCCTACATCTGGGCGGAATATTTCCCTCCGGACCGCCCTATCCCACCTCCGCCCAGGAACCAAACACCCACAAAAATGGGCCGCCATGTCCTATCCACTTAAATCCCTCTATCCAAACACACCCTTAGTGTTTAGGCACGCCCGCTCACCTCTACGTACACCCACCATTTGCAACCGCGTATAACTAATATTTTGGGACTATTAAAAAACTGCTGCAAATTTTTTATGTGGAAAACTTTTAGATCTAACTGTAGTATATTGTATAGCTGTAATATAATTCCACCGTAACTATATTATAACTATAATATAACATATGCAATTATTAAAAACATATAAAAATCTTTATGCCTAAATTATAATGTAGTTACAATGAGTTAGGGTTACCGTAACTAGTATGTAACAAATATGGAATTGGTATGTAATTAAACGAAAATCCAAATTCGTCCAATCGGTTAGCTCTGTTCAGTCATAAACGGGGAGGTCATACGTTTGCTCTTTTCTCCCGCGCGCTTTATGCAATTTCTTATCATCCGGTCTGTACGAATCCTGTCTAACGGTCCACAATTTGAAAGTTTTTACGCCTAAAAACTGCCGCA